ACATCAACATGATCCAGAGTATGTTTTCTTGGAAGTTCTGTTGTTGTGTAATATGTTCCCATTTGAAAACGTGACATTACTAACATGAATAGACCAAGATTTACATGGCGGATACCTATGGGGAAAAGATTACATTTCCCTTTCATCTGGTATAATTCTGGTTTTCCATGAGTCTTCTTGTTTAATTTTATTGAATTAGAGTTAGATCTTGAAATAACTGATTTTCTATCTCAGTTACATACTTACCTATCAATACAACACTGTACACGTCCTATAGCAGACAAACTACAGGAATACAATCTCTCATTCAGCTTTAAGTTGAACGTTCGCTCTTGAGAACAAGAGATCCCAGAGGGACCTTGGCGCCCACCATTTGAGGATCTGTTTTCAGTTCTTGAAGATTTGTTTATTTTGTTTGTTTGTTACAGGTGTTGTAAATGTCCATGAACTGGTCTTCATTGAATGTACTCAATGATGGCACAAGATATTTTTATTAAGCACCTATTAGCAAATATCATTTGATAAAGATCCCAAAGTATTATTAGATAGCAGTCAGTTACAGGTGGATAATGGACAATATGCTTGTGCTTATTACTGTTAACATCCAAGATGGCTGCCAATTGGGCCAATCAGTCCAAAAAAGGTACAATGCACAACTTGGTACCTAGGGGAACCTGCATATGAAATTTGAGAAAGATCCATCCAATACTTTCCAAGAAATAGCGGTAACAAGAATTGTTTACGAACCTGCATATGAAATTTGAGAAAGATCCATCTAGTACTTTTCCAGAAATAGCGGTAACAAGAATTGTTTACGGACGGACGGACCACGGACGGACCACGGACCACGGACGCAGGGCGATTTGAATAACCCACCATCTAATGATGGTGGGCTAAAAAGGCTTGGAGATTTTTTTTCTTGGAGGAAACATACCACAGCTGTTTTAGCTCTATATTGTGGTTGTGTAATGTTTGGTTTGTGACCGAATATGGAACTGCTGGTTGTCGTTAGCAGTATACTTCAGTAAGGTAGCACTTAAACGAACTCCATTCAAGCACTCACCTCGGATACACAGGGAAGCCCGACTAAAACAGTTGATACCACATTGTGTAAAATAAAACCACACCAATAAGGAAACCATGCATGACCGGTATCTGTTGGTTGATTGTAATTTTTCTATTTCTTTTTGTCAGTTGTTAAGATACCGCAGGAGTACACAAGGTGCCTCCAAAAACCCAATGTTTAATTCACTCACTCTTCCAAATCCAACACATACACCACCTAAAGACCAATCATTTTGGCAAGTCATGTAGCAGAACACTTCGGTATTGAAAGCAAATCGTTTTAAGATTCTGAAACCATGTATCAATGTTAAATCGAAAATGGATCACATTTAACCATTTTCCATTTGAGAACGAGACATAATTTAATTGGATTGACCAAGATTAAATAGGACGAACAATCTTGATAGTAACATAACTGCTTCCAAATCCCGCGGTGTTTACAGATCAAGATTGATTTAAGTGTTTGTTTCAAATATCAGATTCTCAAAAGGATATCGAAAGCTGGCATCAAGCAACACGAACTTTTGTTTACAGGTCAAGATTGATTCAAGTGTTTGTTTCAAATATCAGATTCTCAAAAGGATATCGAAAGCTGGCATCAAGCAACACGAACTTTTGTTTACAGGTCAAGATTGATTCAAGTGTTTGTTTCAAATATCAGATTCTCAAAAGGATATCGAAAGCTGGCATCAAGCAACACGAACTTTTGTTTACAGGTCAAGATTGATTCAAGTGTTTGTTTCAAATATCAGATTCTCAAAAGGATATCGAAAGCTGGCATCAAGCAACACGAACTTTTGTTTACAGGTCAAGATTGATTCAAGTGTTTGTTTCAAATATCAGATTCTCAAAAGGATGTCGAAAGCTGGCATCAAGCAACACGAACTTTTGTTTACAGGTCAAGATTGATTCAAGTGTTTGTTTCAAATATCAGATTCTCAAAAGGATATCGAAAGCTGGCATCAAGCAAGACGAACTTTTGTTTACAGGTCAAGATTGATTCAAGTGTTTGTTTCAAATATCAGATTCTCAAAAGGATGTCGAAAGCTGGCATCAAGCAACACGAACTTTTGAGAGAAGCAGATTCGTAAAGTCTTAACTAATTATTCTACTTCCTTGTTTGTTATAAAATGTGTCATGTTTGAAGTTCGATAGTAAATCCATTTGTTATGAACACTACGAATCAGAAGGAATTTTACCCTTACAGAACGTGTGGTCTTACTTGTACTTTTTTCAGTGGTCTCCATGTAAGTTCTTTTTGTTCATGTTGTCCTTGTTTCATCACCGTAATCGAGTTTTGAATAAGGTTTTGTGAACAATATCTTGCTAAGGTAGCACTTCTTCTGACCTTAAACATTAAGTTATGGTGAAGTGATAGGTATTTTTCTTCTAAAAATCGATTCCCATGATTTTAAAAGAACATATATATCTTTTTATGAAAATATTTGGGCATTTGTGTACCCGAGTGTACATGTAAGTTTAATTCTTTAATTTAAAAATTAACTGTAGTTAATCCCAGCATACTATTGGCCAAAATTATTACCCTTGACCCTTTCATTTATTGTCATTTTAAACAAGAATTTTGAAGACTTTCGCACTGTTTACAGTCCTTCACATTAATAAATTTGATGCATCATTAACTATAGTGTCAGTGAACAAGTATAATAACTGATGACCTTTTCTTTATTGAATTGTTTGAAGATCTTAAAGAAATTACCCTTAGTGACCTAGAAAGTGGGTCAAGGTTATTCAGTTGAATAAACTTGAAAGACTGCACTCTAGTAGTATGGCAATGCCAAATAACTTGACCCCAAGTCTATTATTAACAGTATATTGAAATAGAAGTCACCTAATGGGGACTTGACAAGGAACAAACAGATGGTCAGCAGCACAACATCCTTAGCTCAATTACCCTTCAGGGTGAGCTTACAATATTAGTCATATTACTCCTCATTGATTATAAATGGTGACTCTACAACTATACATAATTATTCATCTGATGATTGAGTTAATTTAATTTTCCAATAACTACATCATATATAACTCACACAAACGTTTAGCTATAAATACACCTTATTTTATTACATTAAATAAATTTATCTACTAAAATTTCTACATAAAAATGTCTAGTCCTTTCATTGATGAAGTTGATATGATACAGAGCTTAAAATGGGAGGGTGAATATTTAATATTATTGTGGTCTTATATAGATGCTTTTGCAGTTCTACCTTATTTCAATGCATCATATTGTAGATATACTAAATCTAGTTATGTCTTCATAGTGTACTTAGATATATAACGTTCATCAGAACCAAGTTCATGGTGTACATTACATAATATACCTATCTGGACCATTCTCAGTTAAAATTACCTCCTAACTACCAACAATACAGGTCCTTAGCATCACCTACAAACGATGAAACAACTGCTTGATGCAATTGAATTTATTGTATGACTTTGTCAAATTCTATATGTAGTATCTTTAAAGGTGCTATTCACTTGTGCATATTTTGTACAATCTTCACAACACAGATACCATTAATGTGGCTTGGAGATGAATATGATGCTTATTAGTATGTCTTGTGTTAGATTGAACAGACCATTGGCATGAAAATTAAGTGAGCTGTTCTCTTGCTGGTCTTCTTTTCAACGGAGGCTTATTTGTTCAAGAGCTTGTCAAAACAGACCTTAAAGATTGTACATAATCCTTGAATTTCACTCTCAGATATAGAAATATGTCCATTATATAAACTACAAGAATTGGAAAGTAAAGTTGCTTAACTTGATCTTTTCATACAATAAAATCAACAGGGACACATTTTGACCAAGCTGTGTGATAAGTATGATGTTTTCAATTCCCCTCTTCTGAAATATCCATTTCTTAACAGCAACAGCCTGCATCTCCTATCTATGGTGTTTCCATATTGCAATTGATTCAGCATAAAACATTCTACATTTCAACAACAGACAAAATTCATATTACAAGGTTTCAAGAGAGAGCATCCTTAACTGATGTTATAGGAGCTAATGAATAATTGTTGATAAATTCTCAAAGAGCATGTAGAATTGTTGCTTACCAAACAAAACACAAAATCATGTATAAAATCTGGATCACAAATAAACATTTAAATAGAAATCAAACTTAAGTAAAAATATTATTTATTACAGAAATCAAATGCAAATATTGCATCATTCTCATTTTAAACATTAAGTTCTTATAAATTTCTGACACCAATATCTGTAAAATCTCTACATTCACACCAATAAAAAATCAATCATTCACACCTCAAAAAAAATCTAGGCTATTAGCTCTGACAAGAGAAAACATCCCACCTCATTACATGGTAAGTCCATCTTGTCTATGTACATTTAAAAGTCAACATTAATTCAATTCATCTGAATCAAAAATTGCTCAGCTATCAAATCCATCAACATCATGTTATTGTTAATCATTTATTTTCATGGGAAATCTTTTCGTTAGGGTACGTTTAATCTATGGATTCTTATTTCAATGAACTGAAATAAGTGTAGTTTGATTTAAAAAGTTATCCAAGAAATCTCGGGACCACAAAATAGTGATTTGTTTTAATACCTGCAAAAATTGAACACCACACAATAACATGATCTTACAAAAAGTTGCTTGTACATAGGATTCTTGCACTGCAATCAACCCACATAAGGACAAGAAACATCTTGTATGGTCCCTTAAAACAAGAAAATTCATCATGTACCATATCTTGTGAGGATCTTTAACAAGCCTTTTCCGTGCTGTGATGTCAGCATTTATATATGCATCAAATCTTTTTGACACCTGGTTTTATCCTTCTAAGACAGGGTATTTACAGAGATTTTGGTTGATTGAACCATGCATTTATTTGTATATAATTTACAGCATTTAATGAAAAAATTTATTTTTACTTTTTTAAATTCCTCAAAGAAATAGAGTTCATAGTCAAGGGATGCAAACAGTTCATTAATCCACTGAAAATGTCATTTTTTCAAACTTAAAACTCAAACATGTCACCATGACTGCTGGAGTACTGCTTTTTGATGTTTTTTGAGTTGTCTTTATCTAAAACCTCAATTTGTAAGCAATACATTATACAATCACATTGAAGATAGGTCATGGACTACAAAGAAATAAAATCCATGTGACCATTCCTAAATTTCTTTCAACAAAGTCTATATGAACCTAAAATTATATCAACTGAAATCAATATACATATCATAACAATCTCACAATAAATATTACCTTTTCTCTTATTTCCAGGGAGAAATTGTAACATGATAAAAACATTTGTACAACTTTGTTCCTACTTTACTGAACCACTACATAAAATATGATGTCATACAAACTACAGCCAAACCTTCCATTTATCAATGTGATAAAGCTACATTCATTCCAAGTCTCACATTCATCATATATGTAAGTACCTGTCCCCATTGTTATTCAAAGGGGAGGTAATTCTGAATTATTTTCAGATAAACTAGTCAGTTTTCATAATTACATCTCCTTTGGAATCATTTGACACCTGTTACTGGTTGTAGAGGTATTCAGCTATGCCCAAACACATTTCCATGCAGGAAGTATAAATACAGGAGTATACTTTTATCACAGATACATACTCTGTAGAGACTAACGAGGAGTTGTTTCCCATCATCTGTTGCATATACATTTTGTATGTATAAAAATTGTCGTTTTTTTTTCAATCAGACTGAATACTTAAAACTAAACAACAAGTAGAAAGTCATAAAAATCCTATTCATATCATTACTATATTAATTCAGCATCATAGAGGGGAAACTTCAACTAAAATTTCTAAAATAACTGAAACAAGTTAGATATCTCTATCACTAACCACAACATCTGTTCTATCATTGATATATAAAACAAGGATATGTGATCACTTTGTAAACATACCTGAAGAATGTTGCATGTTCAAATGAAATGGTAATCAAATGACACAGGGGTAATGTGCCATCCATTCATCTGCCCAACCCTATAATGTATGTTTCCAGCATCTTCTTTTCACCTGATTGACCCCATGATGTATGTTTCAAGCACCTTCCTTTTACCTGATTGACCCCATGATGCATGTTTCTAGCACCTTCCTTTCACCTGATTGACTCCTTTATGAGTATGGAATTTGAATATGAAGAAAATTACCCTGAGAGAAATAGAGGGACTTGGGAATGAATTCAGAAGAGAAATGATCTCTTTGTGGAATGGGACCTACCTTAATCTGTGTTTATTACAATGGCATCATAGGCATTAGGCTTGATTTTCAATTGGTTTAAATCTGTGAATGTAATCACAAGGTAACAAATATAATGTTGGCATTTCTCACAACAGTGACAAAAATTTTAGTATAAATTGCATACCATGAACATTCACAAAACATAGTTAATTCATACTTGTTAATCTGTGTCTGTAATATATATTGAAAATGTGAAGTTATGGAACATTTGAGAGATCAATAAAATAACTTCTTGAAGAATATTCAGCATCTGCAGCAATGCTACCTCATCAGTGTTTCCTTTCCATCAGAAATAACATTGATAACTCACTCCAAATTACATCACTACCAATCACATTTCTCCAGTCTTGAACTGCTCTTCCAAGAATAAACTTATTGTTATATTGAAGGTGCTCATCATGACTTTTCCTTTCCTTTCAAGTCCTCATTTGATGTTTTCTTTTCTTTATTAGTACCAAGCACATCTTCTTCCAATTCGCCTAGATCTAAATCAATTGCCTTTGCAGCTTTCTGAAAATACAAGCATTACATTCTGAATGTATTGAAATTGATGTGTTTTGTTGAAGAACCTGAAGGTCTTTGTGACAGCAGATCGAAATTTGATTTCCATTTCATAACTACATTTTTATTATTCTAACTTATTTAATAACAATTATGTAACTAAATATTTAACAATATAACAAATCAGTTTTTTTTCTACATGTCCACCAAATGAAATAAATTCTAGGTTTAGTTCAGACAAATCTGTCCCAGTTTATTTTTACTTCCAGGGTTTGATGTCTACCTTTACTGTGCTGTATCTTAGAATTCCTTGTCTACCCTAACTGTGTTTTATCCCAGATTTTGTTGTCTAACCTGTTGTGTTTTAGAGGTTGTTTTCTGCCATAGCTCTGCTATATCCTAGAATTTGTTGTCTACAATACCTGTGCTGTATCTTACAGTTTGTTGTCTGCAATAATTGTGACGTGCCCTAGAGTTTGTCTTCTACCCTAACTGTGCTGTATCCTAGAGTTTGTTGTCTACCCTAACAGTGCTGTATCTAGAGTGTGTATTCGACGAAAATTGTGCTATACCTAGAGGCTGTTGTCTACCCTAACTCTCCTGTATCCAAGAGTTGTGTGAACAGACATTAAAATGTGCTGTATCTAGAGTTTGTTGTCTACCCTAACCGTGCTGTATCCTTGTGTTTCTCCTCAAGTTTAAAATATGATTTTCAAGTTGATGGCTATATTGGATTTTTGACAAACAAACAAAATAACACTTGTACCAGACTATCTTGGGGTCATTTTGTTGAACTTTCAAATTTTCTTTTCAAGTTTATTTTAAAATCACATGGTGAATGATTATAAACAGTCGAGTGATGAAGGCCATTGTGACATCTATTAACATTGACCTGCTCCTCTCTATGTAATTGAACTACATTGTACCTATCTATATCTGTTGTAATTAAATATTCTATAAAATTAAGGATTTTCAATGATGTCATCAGGGAATAAAAAAGTAATAACAGCAAGTTAAATGAAAAATGCAATACCATTACAGTATACAGGCTATTTTATAACGATTAATATATGTCACTTTTGACAAAACGTCAGACTCTTGTGGGTGATGCAACAAGTTAAATTATTGAAAATACTCAAAATTGTGAATATATGAAATATCTTAAATGTGATTGGACTGATCTTGAAGTACAATGCGAAATATCGCTTAACGGATGTGAATCAAATTCAAAACATGTAAAATTTGACAGATTTGCGATCTCCTTGTTTACATTCCGTTACCTTCACACACGCCTGATATTCTTTGAAAATCGGAGCACAGGAATCTTTCTTGGAGCCACGGAGGAATTCTTCAGGAAACCACTTGTTAAAACATTTATCATAAGCACGTTTCAGTTCAAGACAGTCTTCACTAATACTGTCCGTGATATTTTCGTTTTCCATGTCTGTTCACGTGCACGTCTTTTGACCGCGTGTGGGCTGTATTGCTCAGTAACAAAACCGGAAATGCCGTGGAGCATCTTACGCTTCCACCGGAAATCGAAATATAATAGAGTACTTAAAAATAAGTTTGTTTTTTTATATATGGTTTGAACAATATCTTCGGACACTCGTTATCATCATGAAGAGTGCAATTAATGATAAAATGTTAATTAGATCTGTCGAACCGTTTATTCTATTTATATATATTCATACGCCGACTTGTTACCAAGGGGAATAACTCGAATTTGGTTCAACTAAGATCATGATCTCAAGAACCGTAGGTCGTTTTGCAAAAAGATGCATCTCTTCAAAGGTAAATTGGTTATTGGGCGATAATAGATACATAAAGACAGAATGTGATTTAATATATATTGTTTTATCGGATAAGATGTTTACGTATCAAAACATGTTCGTATTATGATATACTTGCACTTGTAAGTTATGTAACTATATTGTATTAAAAAAACTTCTTCTTTTGAATGGTTGACCATATTTTAGCTAAGTATAGTTTATGATTTAACATCGAATGATATTAATTTATCAACAATTTATCAATTAATGTACTAGTATAAGTAGTATACCCTAATTTGCATTTCCATTTGAATGGTTTGCCAAATTTTAACCCAACTTTGTTTGAAATATACATGTAATAGGAAGGACCGGTGAAAAAAACCGTCTCCGCTGGGCTCAAATTATCGGTCCTTCAGTCTCTAGACAGATAATCTATCACTCAACTAAAGGGTAATTCTCACTAGCCTAGGCAAGTTAAGTGACATGTACTCTATAAAATCTACACTACTATCCCCTTCACAAAATCTGTGTCCCCTAAGACAACAACAACCCAGGTTCAATATCTGCGAGGAAGCATCACATTCGCCTGTTGTTTCAACTTTTGGAGTGTCCAATGGCACCTACTAATAGGAAAGACTCAAGAAGTAATGAAAAATACCCTGCCATCATTAGGATTCAAACTAGCGACCTCTCTAGTGGGACACTTCTACTTGACTATAGAAATTACCACTAGCCAAGGCTAGAAAGGTGATCTGTTCTCAAAGTATTTCTGTAAAAGAATTATGAGGGAGAATTTTGAATAAAAAAAAACACAATTTTTTTTTGTATTTTTTAAGGTACCAGATGCTCCAACATGGATAAATATTGATGAAGAAAAATTACCAAAGGTAGGTTTGTTCATGTAAAATAAATATATCTATAGAACTCCTTTGAGGTCTTCCAGGGGATTTGGTCGTCTTTTGTTTTTATTTAATTATCTGTTTTATAATTAGATATATTTTTAACTTCCTCATCCTTCAATTTTAATGTAATAAGGTTACATGTCTTTGTCATAATACTTCTATATGCCTTTCAAAAAATTGTTGAATTTTTACTTGTATTATAGTGTGACAATGTTCGTTTGCTTTTAAAAGGCCTTTTTGATTTTTGATCAGTTTCAAACCTTGCAGCTCTGTCTCTTTGAAATTTGGCATTAGAGTTGTAGATTTTTTTTAGTATTTCATTTTTATTTTATGAAAGAATTCTTAATACAATTTTTCAACACTGAACCTCATTGACAGAACTTAGCGTTAATTCTCTTTTAGTTTCAAACAATATTTATAAAGCTTGGTAGGTTCTATGTTCTATGATGATATGGAGTTGTGATATCCTCAAAGATATTTATTGGTCACTCTGTACAGAAGTTTACTGTCCCTAGTTCTTCCGCAGCTTCTCAAGAGAACTCCATTCTGTCTTAGCTATCTTCGTTTGGGGGCATTTGTTAAAACTTATAACACTGTAGTTTTCCGTTCCACTTCTATTTTATTCCAATCAAGTTCCTGGTATGTGAGCTTGAATCTTAATTGTAGGTTGAGCGTGAAGACAACACAAACAGCTCCTTCCCATTTCATGATTTATTCTAATAAGTTGTGAATTGGGGAGGATGCTGTATACTTTTTGTATCCACAGCAGTTCCCAGAAGAATTCACCAAATATCATCAGTTGTGGGACGTTGTGCTTCCTTTAAGTTATGACAACTATGAGTGCCCAGGTCATCTCCTTTGTTAAGAATTTTAAATCGCTTTCTTCCAACTTTTCTGATTTCATTCACTACCATATTCCATCTTTCATACAGTTTTCCACCAATCTCTTTTGAACTTTGATGCTTTTATGTTGTAAGGTGCCAGAGCTTACAACACAAGACATTGATCTGATAGAACGTCTCTCATTGGTGGAGTTTAACAACAAGGCAGGAGTCGATCGTCTCACAAAAACTATACAAGCAGCCAATAAATTATACATGGTGGACACAGAGGGTGTTGAACCACTTGACACAGTTCTAGAGGACAGGTGATACCATGGACGACACCTTTTTTCACCCTACATTTCTTTATTTCTATTGTTAAAACTAGTATGGAAGGTGTTCCAAACCAGACTTATGCTAGATTTAAGTTTAACCAGTTTTAGACTAAAACTAGATTTAAGTTTAACCAGTTTTAGACTAAAACTAGATTTAAGTTTAACCAGTTTTAGACTAAAACTAGATTTAAGTTTAACCAGTTTTAGACTAAAACTAGATTTAAGTGTAACCAGTTTTACAGACATTTATTGTGAGTCTTCTCATTTATAAAACAAATATACCCATGTTAGGGAAAAAAGATGATTTTTTTAATGGAATTATTTACATCAAAAGAGCAATGTACTTGTAATGTATACATTCATTTCTCTGGTGTCCTTACATGTTGTTTTGTTTCTATATACTACAAACTTGGCCCACATGTATCAGTTTGTGTTGGGCAAAGAAACAAAAACCAATAATATTTAATTTACCAGTAATTGAACCAGTTTGATACCCTGACATCTTAGTTTTATCTCATTATCACTTTGCTGCTGTTATTCTAAATGCCAGTTCATAGCTGAATTTTATTTTTGCTTTACTATAGCATGGTACACCAAGATTCTGTATTAGATATACAAAAATATCTCAAAATTATCATAAAATTATCGTTGGTGTTGAAGTCTTTTAACATGATTGAATCATCTACCATGTACATTTCTTTACATAAGATTGAGATAAAGAAGACATTGTTTATCAGAAACCAAGAACTGACAATTTCACATTGTATATTATTGTGGTATCTGACAGCTGTCATTCTATTATTGATACTTAGTGTTACAAATTCCAGGGTATTACATCTAAGGGATGACAAAGTCACTGATGGGAACTGCAAGAAAGATATCATCAGTAATGCAACAAAAATTATAGAAGACTACTTTGTGGCCCCACCAGGTAAGGTTGTGTACTGGTAATGGTAATAGAAGACTACTTTGTGGCCCCACCAGGTAAGGTTGTGTACTGGTAATGGTAATAGAAGACTACTTTGTGGCCCCACCAGGTAAGGTTGTGTACTGGTAATGGTAATAGAAGACTACTTTGTGGCCCCACCAGGTAAGGTTGTGTACTGGTAATGGTAATAGAAGACTACTTTGTGGCCCCACCAGGTAAGGTTGTGTACTGGTAATGGTAATAGAAGACTACTTTGTGGTCCCACCAGGTAAGGTTGTGTACTGGTAATGGTAATAGAAGACTACTTTGTGGCCCCACCAGGTAAGGTTGTGTACTGGTAATGGTAATATAAGACTACTTTGTGGCCCCTACAGGTAAGGTTGTGTACTGGTAATGGTAATCGAAGACTACTTTGTTGCCCCACCAGGTAAGGTTGTGTATAATGATAGAAATAGTTTATTCATATACAGAATAATGAATCATATGACAGGCATAATGCTTTCATTGAGAATCCAAAATAAAGTACTGAATTTCTGTATTTACAGGCAATATACCACTGATGAAAATTGAAAGGGATTACAAACCAGAAACAGCTGCAGCCTCCACAGTGTCAGACTCGGATACATGACAACAAAAGTGAACTTTTTATAGCCAAAACTTTAACTGTTGATCTTAGTTTCATTAATGGTGACTGAAAGTGATAACAATCAAATGTTAATTAATTTGTGCCAATAAGGTAATGAGTTTGGAAACTTGTGTAATAGTGGGTGAGCTCACAATCTATCTTCACATTGTTGATATTATTAAAATGCTTTAATACTTAAATTATTGTCTTTTGTTGAGATTTTGTGAAAGTAGATAGGTATACACCCAGTTGCCTAATCCATATTGCCCAAAATATTGTTGGTAACATAAACATTAATGAAGTATGATGTGAATGTAATTATAATCTACAACAAGCTAGTAGGTAACGTGAAATTTTATTTCCGGTAGATAATGCCCTGTTACATTTGCACCCATGTCTTAGACACACCCACCAATCAGATGATCTTTGACATTTTTTTACTCTTGCTGAATACTACCACAAGTTTGTCCAGAATTTTAGACAGATTGCAGGACCTTTCAACAATGCACTACCGGTAACCCTCATGACTACTAGGTTGGAATTCAAACAAACAACCCACAGATAAATACATCTTTAGCTAGACAAACCTGGATGGACTATGGGTGGTCGTCTGCCATGTCAATATACAAATTTGACATCAAGTAAACAAAACTCAAAGGCTGATGCAATTTGCCCAGGCATTTTGAACTGATACTGACACCTAGGAATGTCTACTGTTGCAATTTTCTAGATAATCTACTGACTTTGTACAGAGGTATTAGACTAACTGGGGATTCTCTTGTGGAATGTCTTTGTATGTGCTCTGGATAGTCTGACATAATGCTGCATACTTTGGAGACAACTTCAATCTCGGGTTCCTTTGATCAACCAATTGTTACCTTTGATTTGTCGCAATAAATGGCCTAAAAAGAAGACATTTTTACAGAATTAGGAGAATACTGCCATTACCTGGGTCTGGAGTATTTTAGCGTTGTTATATTCTTTACGTTTGCAAGTCAGATTCTGTGCTGAACCAACTTGTGATTCCTGCACGTGTGTGTTGACCTACTTTATATTATACCTACACAATCTTGTTAGTCATCCTGTGTGTAACACTTCCCCTGCTGGAGGATATAAACAAGCACTAACTGTGTGCTACAGGAGACATCATCAACATATTGAATACTGCTGATCAACATCCTGACCATAAGAACTAGACTGCTTCAACTCTCTCGCTATAGAAACTTGTAAATTAGGTTTCGCAAATCATTGGTGACTTATCACTTCATGTGGTACGGTCACACTGAACTAATGCGTAATATGTCAAATTAGGCAACAACAGATACTCGAATCGCAGCTGTGTCCATCACTTTAGAACAGTAATACTACACAATTTGAGTGCTGACTATGGTACAAATTTCTGCTGGGGTGGGTGTCATTCGTTGTTTCTGTCAATAGCTAGACATCGAGAAGTCAAAGACTTCACTGTACCATCCTATAAATAACAAGAAAGTTACTGACCTCATCCAACTAACATGTTCCTACCTACCAGAATTTAAAATCACACGAAAGACTCTTCATCTGCCGCTCTCCGCAATCTTTTCCTGAAACACAAATATTTCATTCGTAATGAAAGGTAGGTTTTGGAAAACATCGTGGTCGCCGATTCTAATAATACTCAAGGGTAACATGAATAAGATACATCCCTCCTTTCTCACAGTTACAAGATTTTACTTCCGTGTTTTATTGAAGATTAAAGGTAGTGAAAGAAGCATCATAGAATGTTATCGGAATTCAAAGATAAGTGAAAGGAAATTATTTTTATTTAGCTTCTTAAAAACCTAGCTCCAATGGTCAAAAGAGCAAATATTATTCTGCAGCATCTGCCGTCGAAGTTTTCCTTTAAATCACTACTACAGTTGTCATAAATGACAAAGTGACAGATTTTGACTGAAGCATCCTTAGGTGAAACGGTCTCAAGTTTGTATGAATGGTGAAATGCGGAAGCATTTTTTAAAATGTTTGGATGAAGATGATATGACCAACTTTGTTCGAGAAGTTAAGATTATAATTGTCAAACCTATAACTAAATAAAACTGATAAAAATAATGCAGTGTTATTGAATAATTGCATTATATAACCATTGAAACCAAGATGAATTGTTAATTTGTCCCATGCTGAGTACATTCATAACGGATGCAAGATGATTTCTATCTTCATTTTTGGTTCGTTTATTAGAAAGTAGTTAAACCTTCTCCAACTTCCACTCTGATGAATGTAGTCAAGCTAACATTAGTACATTTGAAAAACATGACATAAAAGTTATCCATTTGAGGACGCTGTGTAACATAACAGGAGAAATCTAGTAGTTGTATTATTACATACAAAATTCGTGATAAAGTGCCAAAAACTCAACCGGGCTGAAAAAGCCAAGCTTAGAATTACTCAATGGTTTTGCGATGATGTTAGCATTTTCGGAGAAAGATAAAATGCCATGATGATATAAGCGTATAAACCAAAAGCATCTTCAAGGTTAATATGCCAAGCTGTTTCATTTGGTGTCCCATGGAAGACGGTATCAGTTGGGGCACCAATACTGATCGTTGACCGACCGTAAATAAAGGGACATATAAGTGTGTAAAACTTTAGGGGTGGTAATTTTCCCTCAGGTATTGACTCGAATGACAGTGCTTCGTGTTATACTGAAATGTCGCCTAAAAAGGACCAACGACCTCAGTTGAAAACCAGTACTCAACTTGTCCTTCCTTGATACAGTATACAAGACTTTAGAAAGGAGTTAGTCAGTGCAGCCAGCCAAAACCATGTCACGGTTGACCTTCAAATTCATTCGTCTTCGTCGATTGTTAAACATGAAAACAAAATTATCCTGGTTATATAGAATGGAAAGATTGAGACACGAGGTAGATTTTCTCAGCCGTAACTTTGGTGAAATAAACATGGTGAAACTTCAACTAAAGCGATCCCACTCCAAATTGATCGCCTCTTGATTTTGAACGAAAAACTGATGTACAAAAACCGTCTCAAAACCGATGTAGAATCAATCGATTGCTGGAACAGAATTGTAAAGAATTCAAAACTGATTCTATAAATCGGCCTTTCATGAGCGACCAGAATACAGTTGATTCTGTTATTAAAGTTGGAAGAAAAGGAAAACTATCTAGGTCTAAAACTTCAGAGATTTCGTATGTCAAAACATTTTTCTTACAACAAGTATCTTAGCGCGGTTATGTGTTGTAGCAATTTGTGTGTGATAAGTGTTAGAACTGTTAGTCAGTGACTTCAGTGAGCTAGGATTTCCAGTGTTTACGCATATTTATATAATCGTTTTCAGATTCCAGCATATTTTCTCATTTCACCTAAACGAGGCTGATTTGCAGTTAATATTGATTAAATTTTGGGTTTGAAAGGTACCTTTTCACATCACCACCCGGCAAAATTGGTGATCAGAACAAACACAACCGTAACAAACAGAAACAACCACACAAGTCCTGACATATCAAAGTCATTTCAATCTAAATTCAAACTTGAATTCGACGAGATTAAAGCAAAATTTGGCAAATAAAAACGAATATGTCATATATTAGTAAGGTCTAACTGTATATCGAAAATTCTAAAAAGCTACGTCATAGCATGCATGGGACTGTCAATCATTATTTAGTGCTTGAAAATACACGGACACCCCTAGAAAGTACGAGGAGAAAACCGGGTGTCCAGAAAGATGAGTGCCTTACATCTCATCGACGACATCCGCAGTGCAGGTCTTGGTAAATCCAACTCAGCAATGAAAGCAAGGATTGTTTAGGAAATGTTTTCGGATGTATCGTTTTAGGAAGGTATTCCCATGTTTATCAGGTGACTAATAAGTTCATGTTATGTTTGTGAAATACATTAACTTAAACCTCCTTGTTAGCTGCCGCAGACATCCAGCAGGACGAACGAAACGAAATCGATCGAAATCTAATTACATTATTGCTATAGCGAGTTAATTGGCACGTTTATATTACTACATCTTATAACTACCTGTATAAAGCGGAGCAGACGAAAGACGCTGAAAGACCGAAAGGTCGTAATAGTGGACGTAAAATCAGTCAAATTAAAAATAAAGAGCAGACGGTCATCAGAAATAGAACATGGTCAGTGAAATCGTTGTGATCCTATATCTTGTATTGTGTCTTTGTCTGGCTGTTGAGACCCTCCGAGAAAATAATGATATTGCACTGTAACAAGCCCTTGAATATCGAAATGAACACGGAAAAAAAGTATGGATAAATATCCGTAAAAATCACAGGTTGGGAAGAAGCAAGTATGTTGCTATCTAGAATGTGGAAAATTCACGATATTGTCATATTGCTGGGTTATATGTTATATTTTCCACGTAATTCTACATGGAATTATATGATTTATCAAACTAGTTTGAAATATATACACGTTTTAGACACATATACCGTGCATGTGCTAGTTAGGAATAGTTAGTAAATAGGTACGGAGGTGAACATGAGTTAGCTCCCCTATCTGTAAGTCTTCTGCAGCAGGACAAACATGGCGACCCTGAAACTATTTTCGGCGAGTCGGTCAGGTAAAATAAGATGATGTGATACTTTCAAACGTGAATTTTGAAATTCATATTGTGCACTGTCTTACCGAATCCTAACTGAAGTGTATCGAATCAAAAAGCAAGATCGCATAGGGAAAACGAAGTCATTGTTTAAATGCGTAAATACTAACACAGCCGTAACCTTCAGCTGTTCTGAACCAAATTACACAACATTTCCAATCGGCATTTCGTACATTTTATGACATGGAACAATGAAACATGTCAGGACAGTATTCTTATAGGATTTTTGGTAGATAGGCACACTCTGCGATACAGTTGCACAGTCGTTAGGTATGGCAATAAGCAGGTTGGACACAACCCTGCATCTGGGTAATATAATATAGGCAAGTCCTACGGGAAAGTTGGTCACTATCACTGCATTGAGTAACTAGTTAGATACACAAATACAGTGTCATTAGAAGTAGAAGCATATAAAGTTTTTCTTTTATTTAATTTTATTTTTACATGTTTGTAACCAAAATCCTTTTAACATGACCCAATATCCACTGTGACACTATTTATGATACCTAACTTTAATGCGTTAAATGTATGACAGTTGACGAGTTGTATCACATACTTTATTCTCCACTGAATACATGAATATGCAGTGTATAGCCATTGGGAGCATATAGTGCAAATGTGGTAGGCTAGCACAAATTTACCTATGTTCTAATTTTAGCCACATTATAAGCAATAGGGGCGAGAAATTTGGGGATTTATTTTTTACCAACAACAAAATATCAAAATTTTTCTTCCGCACTTTTTTGGTCTTGTAATGTTGTATTGGTTTTTGAGCCATTTAAAAATATGGTACCATTTTTTGTTTAATGCAAAAGAAAGACAAAAACTAAAAAAAAAAAAAAAACTAAAAAAAAAATGTAAAAACAAACAGACAAAAACATGAACTAAGATATCTGAGTCAGAAAGAAAAGAATGACAGTATCCAATTTGAATTTTGAAAGTGAATAATCACGAAACTTTATGGATCATTATTATTGGTTTTAATTTCATTATATAACTGTTACATGTAACTTTTTCTGTTATAACTCTGTTGGTCAGTTAACTTGTATAATCAATTTAACTATATTTTATGTATATGTATGAATAGATACTTTTACACATGAGTGGAAGTGTTGACAATTTGCAAATCTTGGCAAGAAGTATTTGTCATATTAAGATAAGAATTTGAGTTCGGTATTACTGTTTCAATTCTGAAGTATTAAGTTAAACAGCAAAATAGTTCATTCTTGGCACAGGAAGGGGGTATTTACATCATATTAAGGACCCATTTAAATATATATATAATACGTCCCATCACATTTCCTGGCATCCATGTAAAAATGGCCAAGACATTCGTCCAGTCGGACTACATCGTAATCTTCAAAATCTGGGTTTTGCTGCTTTTCCACCAAATAATAGCGGCCAACTTATTAGCTTTTAACGTCTTATCAGCGTTAAGTAAGTTAGCGTTAAGTGCCAGGCGTTTTTTTTCCTTGTCTGCAGCTGTCGTCTGCCCGAACCGCCCAGCCATTTTTGATCCAAAATAGAAACAACTCGTACTAGATAATAGCAACTTCTAGGATTCACTCTAGCCAATATTCCGACATGGAACAGAATGTGAATATCAATCTGTGATTTGAAATTATGACGCCTTTGTATATAAATATAGATCAATGCATTCTAGTCCGAGGTGCAATAAGTAAATATAGTACTATTTGTTTGAATTGATTAAACAGCAAGATTTTTTTGTTTTCAAATTCACTGAGAGTGATACCCCCTGTTTTCAAATCCCCCTCCAAAACAAATAAGAGCAACACATGATCACTTCGCAACTATAGAATGTAAAAATATTTCAGGAGCAGATCTAGACAGTTCAAACCAGATACCTAGAATTTCCATCTAGGTGTCAGTTTAAGTCTAAACAGCTACCTTGTTCTCTATATGTCCTCAGAGTTAGCATGCTGCATGTTTAACCTTCTTACTAGTAGCAAATAATGGTGGTAATTTTGTCCTTATGAGTATTGAATTTTCATAGAAAATTATTCTTCATTTTCCAGTAAAATCCCAACATTACTATAGAATCATTATGGATTAATTGTTAATATGCTGAATTTCTGAATACTTTGTACATGATTTTGAAATGCTTTTGGATTTTACATTGAATTTTATTTCAAATTTGTTTTAGCAAATACCTGCTTACAGAAACTAGTACGACCAGGAGCATGTTTGTACCAGCAGAAAAGGTCCAAATACAGTAAGTATAGGATGGGACAGTTTCATCTTCAAAATCTATCTTTATTCCCCCATTAGGAGCTGGAGAAGACTAGCTTTATGTTGTGGTTGTCCTTCTGTCTTTCCATCCTTCTGCTATATCGTCTGGGCCTTATCTTATACACAATTGATCATGAGAACTTTGGATATGAGTTCATCTTGGTGAGACAGTGTGTCATGTGTCAAAAGTAGGTCACTGTAACCTAAATTTTGACTTTTGTCCTGCATCAAAGAAAAAAAAGTTTTTCTAGACCCTGTTTTTTACAATACATTTACTAATCATGGGAACTGAATACTTTGGATATGGCTTAAGTTCACCTTGGTGAGATGGTGTGTTGCGTATCAAAAGCAAATCACACTGACCTAAATTTGGGAGCTTTGCCTTCATTAAAGAAATGGGTTTTACAGGCCTTGTTTTCTATGATTCCTATCATGGAAATTTACACTTGAGACATTGGTTCCCCTTGGTGTTACAATTTGTCAAAAGTAGGTCACACTGACCTTCATCAAACAAAAGCTTTTCCAAGGGTCTATCTCTTACACTATCTGCTAGCCGCTGGAACTCCGTACTTGGGGTATGGCCAGATTCACTTGGTGAGGCAGTGTTGGATTTTAATTTGCTAAATTGACTTGTTATATTGGTCAATCTAATTTCAGTTGTTGGTATTCTCTCGACTTTCATCAATAAAATGTACATCAATTTATAATGATATGGGTAGTTAGTTGTATAAAACAATAATTATCAGATTGATTGCTTTTCAAATTGTTTTCATCGATGATCTGTCAGTCAGGCTTGTTCAGAGGTAAGTTGGATAAGTATCATGTATGGGTCCTATGATATTGTTATGCACATCGCATATTGTTGTCTGCTAAAAGGATAAGGGCCATAATAGTGGACATATAATCTGTTAGATAATAAATAAGACATATCTGAGTTTCATCAGGCTCCTGATTTCTATATTTGGCTTACTATAGCTAGGAAAAGTAGTACACTAACTACATAACTGTTGTTTGATGTATTGTTGTTAAAACAGTGAATAAATAATGTAATTATATAATTAGCATATGTGTTTTTATTATATGAGGGAATTAAGGGCTCGTCGGGTGAGGGTGAGTTCTGGAATCTGTTCGCGCGCTTATAGCAAAAAAAATTTGGTTAGGCAAAACTGAATTTTGACCCAGAACTAGCCCTGTAACATTTATTGTTGCCATTTTGGTCGTCATTAATTCATTCTGTCTTAATTTGATAAACAATTTAATAGCTAATTATTAGATTTGTTTATGATATGTAGAAATAAAGAAATTTTTAACTAGTACAAATGGTGAATGTTTCATTCACAATGTTTTACTGAAGGTTACAAATGTCTGCCGAAAAGAAATTGCTGTAATGAATTTTTTTGTCAATTTGATATGTTGTACAGATGACTAAGATAAACTTTTAATTTGCAGTGAATATCAGCAAAGATCGAGGTGCTACTGATTATCTTGGTATGACAGGTGACGGTGTTGCTGTTTTGTTCTTCAGGGAAGCTGTTAGAGGTGAGAAACAGCATGACAAACACAATTGATGTATATTTGATGGTTTAAAGTGTATCATAAATGGGTTGCTATTTGAAGCTTTAAATAAATTCGTTTTGTAAAATAAATTGTCAAGAAATTGTGAATTTCGTAGTTAATTCCACTGCCCTTCGATAGTTTTACCAGCTTGACATGTATTTTGATAGTATTACCTTCTTGTAAGATATTCTGATAGTATTACCAGCTTGTCAGGTATTTTGATAGTATTACCAGCTTGTCAGGTATTTTGATAGTATTACCAGCTTGTCAGGTATTTTGATAGTATTACCAGCTTGTAAGATATTCTGATAGTATTACCAGCTTGTAAGATATTCTGATAGTATTACCTTCTTGTAAGATATTTTGATAGTATTGCCAGTTTGTCAGGTATTTTGATAGTATTCCCTTTATAAGCTTTTAGAAAATTTGAAATTGGTACTGTTGGTCTGTCAATGCTGTTGGTTATTCCAATAAATCCAGGTTTTGTTAAGAGTACCGCCAAGTTGAATTGATAATTTCCTTTAAATTCATTGGCAGGAAACTGAACCAGTGAAATTATTGTTTTATTTGTAACATTATTGTATCTTGTAGCACATTGACTTTCTTTATAAGATAAGTAGAGTCAAATAAGTTATTCCAAACAAAGAAGAAAAAAGTAAAAGTATACTCAAACCTGGCTATTAAGACCACTAAATGGTGCAAAGAAACGCGGCATTCATATATAAGCAGGTAGTCTTTATGAAGAGAATTATATTAATTTCAGATCAGAAACTAGTTGTCTTAATAGACAGATTTATATTTATCTATATACCATTTTACAGGACTTGCCATTATTACGGGAATGGTCTTTAAGGAACCTGCTACTATCAATTACCCATTTGAGAAGGGACCTCTTAGTCCACGTTTCCGAGGAGAACATGCCCTCCGTCGTTACCCATCAGGAGAGGAGCGATGTATTGCATGTAAACTGTGTGAAGCAGTATGTCCAGCGCAGGTATGTGTCTCAAAGTAAAACAGTATGTCTGGTCCAGGTATGTGTCTCAAAGTAAAACAGTATGTCTGGTCCAGGTATGTGTCTCAGAGTAAAACAGTATGTCTGATCCAGGTATTTGTCTCAGAGTAAAACAGTATGTCTGGTCCAGGTATGTGTCTCAAAGTAAAACAGTATGTCTGGTCCAGGTATTTGTCTCAGAGTAAAACAGTATGTCTGATCCAGGTATGTGTCTCAGAGTAAAACAGTATGTCTGGTCCAGGTATGTGTCTCAATACAAACAGTTTGTCTAGCTCAGGTCTGTGTCTCAGTATTAAATAGTTTGTCTAGCTCAGGTATGTGTCTCAGTATTAAACAGTTTGTCTAGCTCAGGTATATATCTCAAAGTAAAACAGTATGTCTGGTCCAGGTATGTGTCTCAATACAAACAGTTTGTCTAGCTCAGGTATGTGTCTCAATACAAACAGTTTGTCTAGCTCAGGTATGTGTCTCAATACAAACAGTTTGTCTAGCTCAGGTATGTGTTTCAATACAAACAGTGTGTCTAGCTCAGGTATGTGTCTCAGTATTAAACAGTATGTCTGCTTCAGCTATATATCTCATTGTAAAACAGTATGTCTGGCCCAGGTATGTGTCTCAAAGTAAAACAGTATGTCTGGCCCAGGTATGTGTCTCAACACAAAACCTCAAGTCTGCCTTTATTGATGATTTATGGAAACTTTATTTTAACCATTCTATCTTTGTACAGGCCATCACTATAGAAGCTGAGCCAAGGGCAGATGGCAGTCGTCGGACGACGAGATACGATATTGATATGACGAAGTGTATTTACTGTGGCTTCTGTCAAGAGGCTTGTCCAGTGGACGCCATTGTTGAGGTACTGATTTCTGAAATAATGAGTTTAACCATACTTTGAATACTTTCATTTATGGAATTATGGTTTACAAAACATAACAGAGGTACAGATATTTGAGTAATGGACTCCTACAACACAACCAAACTACAACAAATCACTCCACTAAATCAGTTAACCATATTGGTGCTGTACCTGCCAATTTTCATTCCACTATGATGAAAAGACCTGAATTTTGACATTCCTCTTGTCCAGTGCTAGACCTGTCTGTTCACATTTCACAGAAGAAAAGGGGAGATAAATGATGCTTTATATAGAAAAGATACTGAAATACAATATATATTATACATCAATAAAAATCTTACTTCATGGTATTACATTCTTTCATGCATCAAACATCAAATTCCAACTCTTTGTTTTGTATTTTATTGGTAAATGATTTGCCTGCTGCTGGAGTCCTGTCTATTCTGACGTTACTGTGTGACACTGGTGACAGATAATACTTCTCACTGAGAATAAGAAACACTTTGGTTGTTTATCAAATATAAATGCTTTATGTCACTTCCAAGAATTTTGCATTAATGGAACAAAAGGGATAGATTTTTAAATGGAAGATAACATCTTATGATTTAATATTGTTAAAAGTTTTTTTTTACAACTTGCAGGGTCCCAACTTTGAATATTCAACAGAAACACATGAAGAGTTACTATACAACAAGGAAAAGTTGTTACACAATGGAGATAAATGGGAGGCAGAGATCGCTGCTAATCTACAGGCAGACCACCTTTATAGATAGAAAGTGCTAAAGACACTCCTACAGTTTGTACATAATATAAATACCTGTGTAATGGATCAATTACAAACACTCAGCAACTCTCTGTGTTGGTTTGAAATGTTACATTGAAGGAAAAAAACTTTGACTTTTTTTTTTAAACATCATTGTGATCAGTTTGAGTGTTAATAAATTAAAGTCAACTAACAAAGGCTGAATAAAGATGAGACAACAAAAAAAAATTATTAGTTTTTTTATGTTTTATCAAAATAATTCATTATATACTGTAATTGTAACAGTACAGTCATTAACATGTCAACTTTATCAGTTTTAACATACCTCATACTTATGTATTGAAACATGTAGGTAAGGGCGGAGTAGAATGTACCAATGTTCTTTACAATCAGTAAAATGTATTAAAACCTTTACTCTGTATTTATAAATAACACACCTTTGGCCATGTTTAGTTGATACAAACAATACAGACCTGAAGGAACTCTTTGTTTGATTGTACACTGACTTTACAGAAATTGTTAAAAAGCGAGACTTTGTCGCAGTCCTGAAAAAAGTCCAGATAACATCCATTTTTGAATTGATACTTCATTTTGATGTCTTGAGTCGCAAAATTCATGTGACACTTTGTAAAGATTTTTTCATCAGATCAGAAAATATCAGAGGACTTTGTCAATGGAAAATCAACATCATGGTATCACAGAGATCTGACACCCAAATAAACAACAAACAAAGCAAACATACTTTTTCAAATATTTTAATCAATTTTGTAACAAATCATGAATTAATCCTGGCAGATTATTTAATCCCTGGCAATAATCTCATTTGTAGGGATAATCTACAAAATCTTACAAAATGACTAACATGCCAAAAATACCAACACAATGTATTAAGCGGACGGAATAAGACTTCACTACACAGATTTCAACAGGCACAAAATAAACCTACAGAAAATATTTCTGGCAATTGTATCACATATAAGTAAATAGATCGTAAAATGTTTATACATTATACAAATTATCAACCCATTCACTCCTCCTCAAGATTTAAACTCGTAAATTAACATGTGATCATGTACGAAAGTCAGACGAATAAACCAAACTCTTAAATAAGCCTTGAGTGGCTTTAATATCTCGATAAAACCTGAAGGTACCATTGGTTAGCAAGTGTACACTAACTCCACACAAATATTCATTTGAAAATATAATACATTTTGTAATTCTCTCACACATAAAAAGCTCATCCCATTGGAATTACTTGTCAGAGAAAAACTGTATTATTTCAGAAGATATAACTAATTTTTTCAGATGGGCCCAGACTACAAAAATAAATTTAAAAACTTTATTCCAGCTGATCAGTTCATTACAAGGTAGAGATTCTTCTTGTTGAAACTTTTCTCTGTTCTTCCTCTTTTCTTAAAGCACATTTTAAAAATACAATACCCAGTATGTGTATTTGAAATACACTTCATGAATTAAAATGATGGAGTACTAATGGTTGACAGCTACAATATTTTCGGCAAACTTTCAAAAACAACATATTTTCTGTCAGATTATCTGACCTTTTGATTTGTCTAAAGTACGATCTATACTAGCAGCACCCTTTAGGTCAAACATCATATGGAGGTCACAATATGCGTTGTCAGAACACAGACATTTATTGGTGAGAAATGGTCTAGCGATTGGAAGAGTCACAGATACAGAAAAGTTGTCAAACAACCAGAGTGAAGAGTAAGAATGAGTTACCTACAAATTCTACATAGTGTCTATGTATTTACTTTCTCTGTTAATAGAATAATTCAGTAATTGTAATAAATCAATATGTAAGTTTTCTGAATGGTATTTATAAAAGTAAAAAACAATTAACTATTTATCCATTATTAAGCAATTAAAACATATATCTGAGTACCATAACCAAAAACAAAGCTAGGTACTTCACGGGAGAAATTCCTCATCAAGATTTAACACATAAAAATAAAATAACTGTGTAGTTCAATAAATATAAATACATGTTATATACAGGTGTACAATGAACTAAAATTATTAACAAGAATTACGTATAATTATATGTCTGGCTTTGTTAGTACAGTATATAGTAATTTTCAAGCAAAAAACACTTCGTTTTATGTCCGTCCCCCTCCTCCTTCAAATCTGTCCAGCTTCTCAGAATCAGTATCCCTCATTTTCTGAGTTACTGGACCGTAAAAAAACAGGGAGATATTCTGACGTATGACCGAGTACATAACAAGCTTTGGATCACACAGGAGTTTTACTTTAAACTTCAGAGCGGTGGAAAAGTAACACTAGTCTTGCTTTCATGACTGTCGTTGAATTGGAGAAAAAAAACTACGAGATCACACATGTTTTATGTTGAATGTCTACAGATGCATAAAAACTGTGTCCCATGTCACCAATATTGATTTTCTTTAAGCACCATTAAGAAAATAATGCAAAATTTATGCAATTTTTTTTTAAAAACCTGTGATTGATATCTTAAAATAATGAAGACTTGAACTAGAATCAATTGGTCACAATATAAGTATACAACAGTCACTGATATTAATGCTGTATTATAACAGAATGATATAGATACATAAGGATGACAAGTTTGTCACTGGACAGTATTTTTAATGTTGCTGTATAAATCCTGCAATGAGCTCAGGTGGCTAATCCTAACCTCAAGCATTTAGTAGATATGGATGGACTCATACCCAGTTAACAGTATCACCTTCCTATGTAGATAAATTGCAATCATGTCATCATTTATTAAAAAAATATCCTGTTGAAAACTTGTATACATGTAGCTGTTAAGATCTAAGAAGAAAAAAAATCATCTTCGTTTTAGAAATGATGACTTGTTGGAAATATAGCTACGTTACATATGGTGCATAGATGACTAGAAACCAGTTGTAATTATAATCTATACAAGATTACTGTTTTGATCTAAATTGGCTACCCAGTCAGATTTCTAACACATGGCCATATTTTCACAATATAAAACAATAAAGAGTAAAACTTCAGATTTTCTCATGCACAAGAAATTTTTTCCTTTATAAAACTATGTTAATATGCTATACTCTTTCTTGTCAACATTCTTTAATGAAGGAATGATTTAATTATTTTATATTAACTACTGTGGAAGACACTGGCTGCATTTTATGAACTCCTGAAACTGTAGAAACCCTCCGAAGTTCATGGACATTTCTTGCCATTGATGTTCCACCGAGAGACATACAGAAGCACTGAAATGCGCCCAACTTCTTGTCGAACCCAAGGCCTAAGTTAATACACCTGGGCATATCTTCTTCCTCCATATCGTCAGGTATAGGCGTTGACCAACAGGGTTCATTACAACAGTCGTCACACAGGGGAGCCGTGTTGTCATCACTCTGTATCTCACAACAGTCAGGCCTACACAGTGACGCACAACATGGGTCATTACAACAGGGTAAAGGTGTGTCCACAAGGTTCTGAAATAATATTGTATTCAATAGTATTTAATTTAATTTTCTACGGTAACTAACATAAAAGAAATTTCTGCAATATGGGCCTTGTATTAAATGTACAAAAATAGATTCACAGAGTTTGGATTCATCTTTTATCTTAATTCTATGATAGAAATTTCAAAATATCTTTAACACAGTGCAGAAAACTTTTCATCTACTAGACTAACACAAAGGTGATGATTTTGCCAAAAAAATGAAATGTCCTTATAAAAAGGAAAGAAATGTAAAAATATCAGAAGTAGCAGCACATTGACGTGAACAAAAATGAAATGTAAATATGTTATAGATATAGCTATGCATTACTCATGTGTACAACAAACTCTCCATACTGTAATATGTGTCCAACAGAATTTACAGGCACACCACAAGTGATAGATAACTGGCAATATACTGTGTAAACATTTTACAATCAAAGAAAAAATTGTCAATGATTTGTTAATGAAATAGTGATGCATTAGATGGACGCTACAGATGACTTTGTGTAGATTGCACATTCTTGTTTGAAACCGCACATCAATATGTCAAGGAAAAAGACCTTTTATTAATTCATAATTACAAGATAACAAGATATCCCAGAGGGATCATTGTGCCTACAATTGTATCATTGTTTTAAGGTCTTTATCAGATATTTTCTCTTCTTATCTTTATGATCTGTTACAAATCAAATAGGATCAATAAAGGAGCAAAGGAAAGCTACCAAGATGGCCACGTATCAGCCATTTTGTTTTTTTCAAAGTCTGTCATGAGTAGAATATGGACAACTTGGAACCAGTTAGAACATTGTAATGTTAACTTGGAACCAGTTAGAACTTTGTAATGTTAACTTGGAACCAGTTAGAACTTTGTAATGTTAACTTGGAACCAGTTAGAACTTTGTAATGTTAACTTGGAACCAGTTAGAACGTTGTAATGTTAACTTGGAACCAGAACGTTGTAATGTTAACTTGGAACCAGAACGTTGTAATGTTAACTTGGAACCAGAACGTTGTAATGTTAACTTGGAACCAGTTAGAACGTTGTAATGTTAACTTGGAACCAGTTAGAACTTTGTAATGTTAACTTGGAACCAGTTAGAATGTTGTAATGATTGAGAATGATCATCCAGATCTTCTCAAGAAACAAGAATTCATAACTGCAAAAATTCAACTCTGACATCTGTCAGTCAGTACCTTTCTTTGATAACTTATGAAATAATGCAGTATATACACACAAATTATAGTAAATATAATCACACAGAGGCAAGTCAAGCATTATCGAAGCTTCATGGAGTGATGAAAAACAGAGTTCATGATCACATAAACACACCAAGCATGCAGGTTACATAGTAGTTATAAAGCAGTGCTCAATACTTACCAATAGAGTACATGTAAGTGTGATTGTAAGTGAAACACTACACACATGGTTAGGCTGTGGTGAATATATCAAGGGAAACACTACACACAGTTAAGCTGTACTAGATGAAATGAAACATTACATGTGGTTGTAACCCACCACCAAGAGAGTTGAGACTACAGGCTACAGACATCATACTTACAACTGTACAAGTATAAATATATGTGTGTGTGTGTGTTACTGTCACACAGCACTCTGAGACTGAAGAGTTCCACATTCGTTGCACCACTGCATGTTGTCAAAAATAATAACACATCAATCGTTTTTACTAAATTCAACTAAAAGCAGTATCAATACCTGCAGAGATGTTTAATTAACCATGATCACATAAATTTTTCTGGATGGATTCGAGAAAACATGATTCAAGATAATTTCATCGACTTCTTTTTCAAAAGTTAAGCACTATTATATGATACAATTTACATACATAAAATAGTGTCACATCAGAGCTGAATGAGATCACCACCAATTTGATTTTCTATATCAAAATTGTGATCCTTTTTTTGAAGGGTGTAATTAATTATTATCATATTTAATTATCATCATGATATCAGATTTATCTGTTTATACAAATGCCGCATCCAACTTGATTTTAATTCATTTTCCTTCTGGAAGACTATGATTCCAATTCTGGGTCTTAGGTTTTCGAAACAGCCAGTAAGGAGTGACGATAAACTCTTACAAATTTACAAATGATTAATAATAAAATGCATTTCAAACTTAACACGTTTAACTCATAATTAATTCTCAACAATAAATAAAAAACTTTGTATAAACTTCACAAGAAAAGAACTGATTTTTTTTTTAAACCAATTAAGTGTTTACCATACTAAAACATTTGCAAACATGAACAACAACAGATTGATGTAAAACATGTACTTACATTTGTGAGACAATTTGTAGATCCAAAACACTGACAAAGGAGAATTTCTACACAGCTGAGGGACTGAAAAACAGAACAAACATTACCAAGACTTGTGTCATCTAATTACTAAAACTGCTTTACTACATGCTTCATGATGTTCATGATTTTTAGGTTAATTAATGTACAAAAGTAGATTTTGCAAATGGAAATTAATATGAGGGAAAACTGATAAAACAAAAACACGGAGCTCTGTGGTGCATAAATTTGGAACTTAAGTAAATAAATTTAGCTTGGCTAGTTGGTGGTTTGTTGCATTTTTCACACTGTGAATAGCCAAGGTCATTTTGAGGCAGGGTCACCTTAAATTAGCTACAGGAGGCCTGTGGAATATACCACAGCAGTTAGTGTTAAAGTGTCTTGCTCAGAGACACATCCTAAGCACTGAGTATAAATGTTTCTCGGCTTCTCAAGAAAACAAATCACCATGGTAGCAAGTGTCAAACCACCTGCCACTGATCTTCACCTGAGGTAACATATACCAACACTTAGCTATTGCAGTCCTTAATGTCAAAACGATGGTATAATTTAAATAATGGGTTAGTCATGATGAACAGACCTGACCTGAGCTATAAGCAACTTCAATGATTCAATCATATTTACAAGATTTGTATAGCCCCCTATCAAATCTTATAAAGTTAAAATCATACTTCGATTAAATAATGAAAGGAAATGAAATGTTATTCCACTGAGACAAAGGTTGACTTCTGGATCATTCTTTGAAGCATAAATATATAAATATATATTCTGTAAGGAAATAATGGAATACAGGTATTACAAAAAAGACTTTCTACCATAAAAACCAGTTGATCACAACATTAACACAAAAACTGAATAACATTCCCTTAAGGCGAATTGATATTCTAATTAATTCAATGCATTGGAAAATCTGTGCAGGGATTCCTTCAAGAGGTGCCGACACCAGGTACTGAAGTGTCATTTTTTATCCCTGCAAGGTATCACACTTTGAGTAACCACAGACGACACGATTGACGTCACAGACTTTTCACCTACAGTATTGTAAAGAGTAGACTTGTCCTTTCACAATGATATAAAATTTTGTAGAAATTTCCTAAAAAATCATAGGCTCTTGGTAGCATAATTCAATTGTGCATTTCTTCTTTGTTGAGTATATCTTCATGTCTTTATGTGTACTAGCATCCTCGATATCTCAGAGGTTACGTTCACTATCATCCTTTGCACCCATGGAACATTTCATGGCAAAATTGCAGGTCACATAACCATATATTGTAATGGCTTTGATGTTGGGTGTCACTCCTTTGTAATCTATAAATATCAGTCAGTGTTTGGTCATTATTGTTTTCTTGAAACCTGCTCTAGATCAATTACTTTGTATATGCCTTCAAATTTGCCAGTGCCCTCAGTTTTGCCAGGAAATGTTCCTGGGGTGCAGAGAGTGAAAGTGAAGGTAACCCCTGGAGTATAGAGGAAGATATGATAGGGCAAATATGAATGAATCATTGTCAAAACTTTCAAATAAGATGCGTTTTTCTGAGTTCAACAGCTACATCATGTAAACAAATAAACTGTAAATCAGATTGTAAAGGAAAATAAAAACAATAAAAACAAATCTATTTCCAAAAAATATTATCATATACCTACTTCATCAAAATTATGCTCTCTAGTAGATTTTGTTTTTTTAAGATTCATCTATTGTATCTAGTGTACACCAATGTGGTATGATCCAAACACAACAAACTCACTATCTTATATCAGACGATGTTCTGCCAAAACAAACTTTTTAACAACAAAATCTGGTGGATATTTTCAAAAGGTTCTATTATGTAATGTTTTTCAGGATAGCATAAAATTGCACAAAAACTGAGTAAGAAGCGCACAGACATTTTTGGATGTCAGTCAATGGTCAAAATGGAGGTCAGAGTGACAAACAGAACACCAATCTATACAGCCAAATGTAAAATAACTAGTCACATTGGAGAGGTTCAAGAGGAACACCATTCTACACAGTTGACAGTGAAATAACAAGTCACATTGGAGAGGTTCAAGAGGAACACCATTCTACACAGTTGACAGTGAAATAACTAGTCACATTGGAGAGGTTCAAGAGGAACACCATTCTACACAGTTGACAGTGAAATAACTAGTCACATTGGAGAGGTTCAAGAGGAACACCATTCTACACAGTTGACAGTGAAATAACTAGTCACATTGGAGAGGTTCAAGAGGAACACCATTCTACACAGTTGACAGTGAAATAACTAGTCACATTGGAGAGGTTCAAGAGGAACACCATTCTACACAGTTGACAGTGAAATAACTAGTCACATTGGAGAGGTTCAAGAGGAACACCATTCTACACAGTTGACAGTGAAATAACTAGTCACATTGGAGAGGTTCAAGAGGAACACCATTCTACACAGTTGACAGTGAAATAACTAGTCACATTGGAGAGGTTCAAGAAGAACACCATTCTACACAGTTGACAGTGAAATAACTAGTCACATTGGAGAGGTTCAAGAGGAACACCATTCTACACAGTTGACAGTGAAATAACTAGTCACATTGGAGAGGTTCAAGAAGAACACCATTCTACACAGTTGACAGTGAAATAACTAGTCACATTGGAGAGGTTCAAGAGGAACACCATTCTACACAGTTGACAGTGAAATAACTAGTCACATTGGAGAGGTTCAAGAGGAACACCATTCTACACAGTTGACAGTGAAATAACTAGTCACATTGAAGATTTCCAAGAGGAACACCATTCTACACACTCGGAGGTAACATATCTGGACACACTGAAGAGGCTCGATAAGAACATCCATTCTACTCAGTTGAAGGTAAAGGTCAGAGTGTTGACAATGACTTTGAAAACAGAGCTAGAGCACTAAAAAAATGATTTTCTACTTATAGTAACAGTGACCTTGACCTTCATCCAACATCTCTAAAACTCCAACTTGTCCAAGTTATTTTGAAGTTTGATAAGTGTGTGAAGTTTAATGAGAATCCACAAAGGTATGAAGCTGTTATTCAGATCTCTGACAATGATTTTCTAGAAATAGTAACAGTGACCTTGACCTTGACCCAACAAACCTGAAACTCCACCAAGTGCATGAAGTTTCATGAAAAACCCTCAATGCAAGAATGAATCTGCTGGTGTGCTGACAAACTTTCACATATGCAGAGATGCACAAAGAGGAAAACCAAAGTCGACTTCCAGTTTCTTCGGTAGAGGACTTATAACTGGTCACAAGGAAGAGATGCAAATGGAACTGTTTTACTGATTAATTTCTTTAATATTATGTGTGTAAAATAGATCGATTCCTACAGTTTTATAAGATGTTGTATAATGTTTCACTGTTTACTGTAAGGAAATGGAAGATGAACTCTTTATCACTATGTTTTCAATATTCTTTAATTCTCCTCCCCAAAATTTTAGTGGTTTGTACTGATACTACAGCTGATTATAGTTCCATCACATTAAACTGATAACAATGAAGTCTCGACATTAATATCTTTATACAAGAGAACACGTTGATAAGGGAAATACATCAGCTGTCTTATAGAACGACCATCAAAACGATGAAAATACAAAGAATGAATTTTGCACATAAGGCAAATTACGAAGTAAAAGTGTAGTTATTTCATGTAAAGCTATGAGTTTGATGAAGTTATTATCTTCAATACTTGATAATAATCAATAACTCAAACAACAAATTGTCAATTTAAATTATTAACCAAAATTCAACGTTTCTATTGCTTAATGGCATACCTTAAACATAGAATGGACACTCTGCAAAACCAGAAATATTATACAGGTAAAGTACTGGATATAAACCAGAAATATTATACAGGTAAAGTACCGGATATAAACCAGAAATATTATACAGGTAAAGTACCGGATGTAAATCAGAAATATTATACAGGTAAAGTACCGGATATAAACCAGAAATATTATACAGGTAAAGTACCGGATATAAACCAGAAATATTATACAGGTAAAGTACCGGATATAAACCAGAAATATTATACAGGTAAAGTACCAGATATGTATCTTGTTTCGGTCTACAGTTAATATTGGTCACATTCAGTTGTCATAAATATTTAAGATAACCAATCTGTTATATAGGTTATACTACAGATATGTAACTCAGAATGATGTAAACAACTGATTGTTCAATGTCACCAAAAATAAACAACGCCAAAAACATCAGTAAACATAAACTTGACAGAACAATATATCAAAGCAAAATATACACCAGTCTGTACTGAATCGAATTAACATCTAAAAGATTGGATATTTTAACATTGTTTAAAGACTGACTGACAAAATTATACAATGTATCAGTTAACATTTCTAGCACATCAGCTTTTTTAACATTCACTGATTTCAGTTAAATGTTTATCAATGGTACATTCTTCATTTTGAATATCGTTAATCCATCATATTAAACAAATTTCAAAACTTTTCCTTTTAATTTTTCATCTCAAAAGTTCAAAACCATTAAGTTCTCAGCACCCTTCGATTTATATCTGCATTAAAATGTTTTATACAGTGAGACCTTTGCATGTTTCATCTTTAGGGCATAAATAAAAAGCAAGCACAGCTTTAATGTTTAAAAATGATATATATGTTTTTTTGTACTTTAGGGCAAATTTAACACTGGATGAAAGTGAACTGTGGGCGAAAAATGAAATGTCTTTGAATGACTTAGGTTCATATAGGATGCTTCCTAAAACTTGAAATTCAGAAAGAACGTTAGCGGACCACTCGCAGATATGTTCAACAAATCTCTAACAGAGGGAATAGTAGAACAAGCATAGAACAAGGTAAATATAACAGTAATTTACAAGGACAAAAATCCTGAGTAATTCTAGGCAGGTAAGCATAACAAGTATTATTGTTAAAACTCTGGAGAAATTACTTAAAGAATGCACTGTTTAACACATAGACAGAAACGATTTTTGAGCTGCAAACCATACAGCTTTATCTCAGGCATATATCAACACACCTTTAATCACTGACTGTATTACAGAAATGGACTGATATCACGGACAACATTTGCATGTTGTATGCATGGACTTCATGAAAACCTTTGATAAATGCTTCATCAAAGTCTTCCAAAAATTCATCAGACAACGAAATCAGCAGAAATCAGCAGAGGAGCTGTAAATTGGGCTTAGGATTTCTTAACAGATGTCAATGAGTATTGATCAGTGCAGAATCGTCTCGAATATATCCTGTAATAAGTATTCCCTAGGGAAGTGTATGAGGTCCAATCTGATTTGTTCTATAAAAAGAATTCCCAGAGAAATCCCTGTCCGTTTCATCACTATTTGCTCACGATACAAAATTAGAACAGTCAATAATTACTATGGATAATGTAATTACTCATCAAAACAATGTCAATAAGTTATTTATAGCTACTTAACATTCACAGCAACAACAGTCTTATCAATCCAACCTACTGAAATAATGATTTTATGTCAGGATCTTAAGATAGAAGGATGAAGTTAGAGAATACTATTAACAAAAATGACATTGGTATGATTGAAAATTAGGACTTTGTTTAAACAATATTTTCATTCAATATTCATCAATCTAACACATACGGTTTATAGGATGGGCAAACAAGCTTAGAGCTTAAAGCAATTCCTTACCCAATGAAGTCATAGATTTTAGAACCCATATGAAACTTGTCAGTGTTTATAATTAATAATAACCTAGTTGGTCTGTAAGGACACAATTTGTATATTTAGATGAGTGTACATTTGATTTATCAATCAATTTATTAATTAGACGACATTTCTGCATCCAGAACTTGTCATACACTGAATATTTTGTAATTATTGATTATGTCAACACTAATGTACAGCACATTCATAGGTTATATGGTTAATGTGTCTGAAATTGTCGGTGATATTATAGTTTGTAGATTAACATGAAATTATTTCCAACTTAACAACACAAATAGAACTAGTGGTCACCCTAAAATACAGATAGAACTAGGGGTCACTCTAAAATACAAATAGAACTAGGGGTCACTCTAAAATACAGATAGAACTAGGGGTCACTCTAAAATACAGATAGAACTAGGGGTCACTCTAAAATACAGATAGAACTAGTGGTCACCCTAAAATACAGATAGAACTAGGGGTCACTCTAAAATACAGATAGAACTAGTGGTCACTCTAAAATACAGATAGAACTAGGGGTCACTCTAAAATACAAATAGAACTAGGGGTCACCCTAAAATACAGATAGAACTAGGGGTCACTCTAAAATACAGATAGAACTAGTGGTCACCCTAAAATACAGATAGAACTAGTGGTCACCCTAAAATACAAATAGAACTAGTGGTCACCCTAAAATACAGATAGAACTAGTGGTCACCCTAAAATACAGATAGAACTAGTGGTCACCCTAAAATACAGATAGAACTAGTGGTCACTCTAAAATACAGATAGAACTAGTGGTCACCCTAAAATACAGATAGAACTAGTCTAAAATACAAATAGAACTAGTGGTAAAAGTGGTACCCTAAAATACAGATAGAACTAGTGGTCACCCTAAAATACAGATAGAACTAGTGGTCACCCTAAAATACAGATAGAACTAGTGGTCACCCTAAAATACAGATAGAACTAGTGGTCACCCTAAAATACAAATAGAACTAGTGGTCACCCTAAAATACAAATAGAACTAGTGGTCACCCTAAAATACAGATAGAACTAGTGGTGGTAGAACTACCCTAAAATACAGATAGAACTAGTGGTCACTCTAAATACTAAAATACAGATAGAACTAGTGGTCACCCTAAAATACAGATAGAACTAGTGGTCACCTAAAATACTAAAATACTAAAATAGAACTAGAACTGGTCACCCCACCCTAAAATACAAATAGAACTAGTGGTCACCCTAAAATACAAATAGAACTAGTGGTCACCCTAAAATACAGATAGAACTAGTGGTCACCCTAAAATACAGATAGAACTAGGGGTCACTCTAAAATACAGATAGAACTAGTGGTCACCCTAAAATACAGATAGAACTAGTGGTCACCCTAAAATACAGATAGAACTAGGGGTCACTCTAAAATACAGATAGATAGAACTAGGGGTCACTCTAAAATACAGATAGAACTAGTGGTAGAACTAGTGGTCACTCTAAAATACAGATAGAACTAGTGGTCACTCTAAAATACAGATAGAACTAGTGGTCACTCTAAAATACAGATAGAACTAGGGGTCACTCTAAAATACAGATAGAACTAGGGGTCACTCTAAAATACAGATAGAACTAGTGGTCACTCTAAAATACAGATAGAACTAGGGGTCACTCTAAAATACAGATAGAACTAGTGGTCACTCTAAAATACAGATAGAACTAGTGGTCACTCTAAAATACAAATAGAACTAGTGGTCACTCTAAAATACAGATAGAACTAGTGGTCACTCTAAAATACAGATAGAACTAGTGGTCACTCTAAAATACAGATAGAACTAGTGGTCACTCTAAAATACAGATAGAACTAGTGGTCACTCTAAAATACAGATAGAACTAGTGGTCACTCTAAAATACAAATAGAACTAGGGGTCACTCTAAAATACAAATAGAACTAGTGGTCACTCTAAAATACAGATAGAACTAGTGGTCACTCTAAAATACAGATAGAACTAGTGGTCACTCTAAAATACAGATAGAACTAGGGGTCACTCTAAAATACAAATAGAACTAGGGGTCACTCTAAAATACAGTCACTCTAAAATAGAACTAGGGGTCACTAAAATACAGATAAAATACAAATAGAACTAGTGGTCACTCTAAAATACAGATAGAATAGAACTAGTGGTCACTCTAAAAAAATACAGTGGTCACTCTAAAATACAGATAGAACTAGGGGTCACTCTAAAATACAGATAGAACTAGTGGTCACTCTAAAATACAGATAGAACTAGGGGTCACTCTAAAATACAGATAGAACTAGTGGTCACTCTAAAATACAGATAGAACTAGGGGTCACTCTAAAATACAGATAGAACTAGGGGTCACTCTAAAATACAGATAGAACTAGGGGTCACTCTAAAATACAGATAGAACTAGTGGTCACTCTAAAATACAGATAGAACTAGTGGTCACTCTAAAATACAGATAGAACTAGGGGTCACTCTAAAATACAGATAGAACTAGTGGTCACCCTAAAATACAGATAGAACTAGTGGTCACTCTAAAATACAGATAGAACTAGTGGTCACCCTAAAATACAGATAGAACTAGTGGTCACTCTAAAATACAGATAGAACTAGGGGTCACTCTAAAATACAAATAGAACTAGTGGTCACCCTAAAATACAGATAGAACTAGTGGTCACTCTAAAATACAGATAGAACTAGTGGGTCTAGGGGTCACTCTAAAATACAGATAGAACTAGTGGTCACTCTAAAATACAGATAGAACTAGGGGTCACTCTAAAATACAGATAGAACTAGGGGTCACTCTAAAATACAGATAGAACTAGGGGTCACTCTAAAATACAGATAGAACTAGTGGTCACACTAAAATACAGATAGAACTAGTGGTCACCCTAAAATACAGATAGAACTAGTGGTCACCCTAAAATACAGATAGAACTAGTGGTCACTCTAAAATACAGATAGAACTAGGGGTCACTCTAAAATACAGATAGAACTAGGGGTCACTCTAAAATACAGATAGAACTAGTGGTCACTCTAAAATACAGATAGAACTAGGGGTCACTCTAAAATACAGATAGAACTAGGGGTCACTCTAAAATACAGATAGAACTAGTGGTCAACCTAAAATACAGATAGAACTAGGGGTCACTCTAAAATACAGATAGAACTAGTGGTCACTCTAAAATACAGATAGAACTAGTGGTCACTCTAAAATACAGATAGAACTAGTGGTCACTCTAAAATACAAATAGAACTAGTGGTCACTCTAAAATACAAATAGAACTAGTGGTCACTCTAAAATACAAATAGAACTAGTGGTCACTCTATACAGATAGAACTGGTCACTCTAAAATACAAATACAGATAGAACTAGTGGTCACTAACAGATAGAACTAGTGGTCACTCTAAAATACAGATAGAACTAGTGGTCACTCTAAAATACAAATAGAACTAGTGGTCACTCTAAAATACAAATAGAACTAGTGGTCACTCTAAAATACAGATAGAACTAGGGGTCACTCTAAAATACAGATAGAACTAGGGGTCACTCTAAAATACAGATAGAACTAGGGGTCACTCTAAAATACAGATAGAACTAGGGGTCACTCTAAAATACAAATAGAACTAGTGGTCACTCTAAAATACAGATAGAACTAGGGGTCACTCTAAAATACAAATAGAACTAGGGGTCAATCTAAAATACAAATAGAACTAGGGGTCACTTTAAGAAATTGTTTTTAAAAAATTGATGTTGTCTGGATATTAGAAAGAACTTTTTCAGCCAACGAGTCATAGATACATGGAAAAGTTAATTTACCACTAAACGCTAAAATAAGCAGTATTGTACGATTTGAAATAGCTCTAAAGTAACTCTTGGGAAAGAAATTGTTTTAATTATCAGTAACCTGATCAGCTTCATAACCTGCATACCACACAGAATAATTGTTATACTGCATGTCAATTTATTATAATGAAATGTGGAGTCTCACAACTTGTATCAATCATTAATGCTGATAAGTTACCCACCTTTCTGTTTGGGCAGCACTTGTCAAGACAGCCTCCAACAGAAGGATTACAACAATTACAAGACTCAGACATCGCTATACAACAGTCACAGCAGGGCGGTGAGTCTTCTGATCCACAAATAGCACAACCACATCCTGCTTCGCACACACCCCTTGACTGAAACAAAAACAACATGAGACTTTGAAATTGAAAAAATTGCTGAACTAAAAAACAACAAATATACATTTACTGATTGACATGGAGACTTTCGACCCATACAGTAAATTGGTTAGAAAGCGACTTCTGAAAAGTCATACTGTATGTTGGTTTAGTTGAACAATATCTACAGCACAAAAAAATAACCAATTTCCATCAACTCAACATGTGTGAATTATCTCTTACAATAATACATATATACCATGTCTTATTCAAAATGGAAAATAAGTTAATTTAACATGTGATTACAATATCACATTACGAACCAGTAAAATTTGTCGGATCCCAAGGATGATGAGAATGAGAGCAGCCCAACAGACAATAGCTATTATAATGATGACCGGTAAATCCAAGGCAAGGTCTGATGACGATGTATTCTGCAAGTAGTTATCACATAAACATACAGTTATGAATGTATACTTACAATGCAAATTTTAGACATGGAAAAGAAGGAAATGTAATTTATGCTAAAATTCAACACTATTACACATACATATATCATATTCTGGAGGAGAAAATCAGGCTTAACTCTTTGTGTTTCTAGTAAACATGTACTGGTACAGTTAGTTGTTTGCATGTAATTAATAATCATATCAATACCTAGGATTGACAAACTACCTATCTAGTACTGTGAAAACGTCTGTGGTTAGTCAGGAGTTTGTAGAACAAATGAATTTAATACATCCAATTGACTCTGACATAATTACAAGGTATAAGAAATAAAGCCAGAAAGTATCAGTGAAATCAATTCAGATGATTAAGAGGAGTAGCTGGTATATTGTTGCGTCTACAGATGGACAGACAACCTGATTCCAGTGCACCTGCACACTCCCTGCCATACAGAGATAAAACTGAAACTGTCACCTTAAGGATAACTAATACCCTCTTCCTACCAAGATGCAGACCTCTATATACCAAAGTTGGTCAAAACTTCATGAAAAAAAAGTAAAGAAAAATAATAAAATGAAAATAAATCAGTGGTCAGGATTGTGTTGCCATAGTAACTATTTCTGAAACAAACACCTATAGGTTTCAATTAGTTATACCGTTTGAAAACAGTAGTGAAATACTAAAATCTGTTGCATGAAGAAGAAGTAATGGTCATTTATAGTAAAACCTATGTACAATTACCATGACAACCAACATGGCAAAAATCCTATTACATGTTAAATGATACTGTTCAAAGAGATAGAGAGTGTGTGAATCAAATTTTGAGTCAACTGGATGCTATTTCTAAAAATTACATAGCAGGACATAATTGTGTTATTTTTTTATAGAAGGGGGAAAACTCTCTGAAAAGTGGATGGAGGGGGTGCAAAGTCGCTTCAAGGAGCAAATCGACATACTTTACTAGCCATTCCAAAAACAAATCAAAAAGGTCTGTAGTAAACTGAGCAAAATCGTAGCTGGACAAAGTTCATCTACTGACAGATGGACAAGGTGATTCCAGTATATTCCTCCCCCTAACTTTGTTGCGGGGAGTATAAAGATACAGTTAGTCTACTAAATATATTGTAATTCGACTGAAACACACTTAATTCTGAGTATAACTAGAGGACTCTTGAACCTCTGATGAAATCCATACTTACCCCCATGCTTGCTTTAAGAATTCCTCATCTGCTGCTCACAAGTCATGATCAGTAACTCAATTCTTGGTTAGAATGGTAAAACATACTGAACCTATAACAGAAACAAAGAAAAGATATTGTAATAAAAATTGCAGCCAAATTTGTTTGCCGAAGTTGTCTGCTCAAAATTTAATTGTTTCTTAGGTAAGAAAAAAGAATGAAGAGATTGATTGTTCAGGTTAGGTCATTGTGATTTCCTTTTATACATGTATTTCTAAGGAATGAAGGTAGAACTACAGCATTGTATAGAAGCTGATCATCAGAAAACCAGACTTTTGCCCAAAAGAAAAGCAAGCTCATGATATTTTTTGGTGCTTTTACACTGTGATAATGTCTTAATTATACAATGCTTGTCAAAATATACTACAAGCTCCTGACAGTTTATGTAAATTAATTGTTACATATTTGAGATCCGGGACGTAGATAACAGTTGTCTACGTCCCTGATGTGATCAACACATAAACACCATAACAGCAAATTCAAACTAACCTTTAGGTCTACTGAAAAGCAATCTTCAAAGTAAATTCACCTTGCATCAAAGACCATTCATACAAAGTCATTGTCATAACAAGATTTAAACACTGCTCTTCAGTTTTCAAGGACTTTTGGGGCCCAAATCACACAAATATAGATTGGAAATATAACGACAGAGAGCAGAATATTGGGCTGTTGGGTAGTCAGAATACATATAAACAGTCAATATATAATTAATCTTATAGATAGGGGCCTGTAGTGAAATGCTAAGTTATGAGATTTACAACATCGGAGTTTCCAATACCTTTGATAATGCAGCATAAACACATATCTGTATCATCCTTACATCTTCCCTTACAAGCTAAGGCATGATTTTGGAACTTCCGCTCAAAATCAAAATCACGTGATCAAACAATGTGAAAACCATGACTAATGTCGTAAACACATATATCTCATAATTATTACATCCTTTAATATCAAAGTTGTAAGTTTTATGTAAGGATTTGTTGCCAAGTGGTATTAAAATTTATATGACTAAGGATGTATTTTTTACGATAATGTTTTTTCTCGATAGATGGCGTTGTTAAGTTGCTTCCGGTAACAAATTCCACAAGTTGAGTTCGGCTGCTACATTTGGAAGTAATCGTTCTTCTCAAGAGAAACAATGTTTAAAGTCAAAGTTTTAGTCATTGGCCCATGTCAGGTAACTAACATTAGATTGATACACTCCCAAGTGATGCACAGGTTTCATGACCGTTGTCTTTGAGATAGGAGATAGTTGTTGAATATGCTGTAAACTTACTAGAAAAGATCTTATATGTTCACGAATTCTGGGAACAACTTCATTAATTTGATACATTTGATGTTTCTTATTTTCCCGAACAGCTGGTTTTATAATAACGAAATTGCACAAGGCGGAAGATGTTGATGTAATTATCGATGGGAATTCTTTTTAACAACATAGTCAGCACGGACTTAGATACAGACTGACTATGTTAAAGTCTGTGTTATGATCTGATATAAATTGTATGACAGATACCTTTTTGTACTTGTGAACGTGAATGTATCTTTTTATGTCCCCCGAAAATTTTCCTTATGTCCTTTCGTGTTCAGAGCATAACTTTGTTCACAGTTAAGCAAGGATCAAGAAACTTGGTGTATAAATTGGTCACACTAAGGTGATGTGTAGAGTACCAAATTCAAGGCCCACGACCCCTTAATTACAGAATTTTTACCCTTTGTTAAAATTTCATATCCAGAGCACAACTTTAAATTGCTTACATTTAAACTTGGATAATGAACCTTATTATATACATTGGTAATACAAAGACAACGTGCAATGTACCAATGTTAGGGCCGGAAACCCTTTAAGTACAGAATTATTGCCCTTTGTTAAAATTTAGTGTCTCAAGCATTACTTTGACAACAGTAAAGCAAGGATCATGAAGCATGCTGTATACATTGTGTAGTGTTATGAGACTAACAGTTAATTGTATTGATGTTGACCATAATCCTAAGGTCATTGGCTGTCTCAGTCTCAAATGTGAGTAGCCTGTATTTATTGGTTAGGCCCTGCATTATGGACACTGTAGTTAGATTAGATGCTTTGTTCTTTGTATAAAAAGTTCCTGTCTAGATGATAAACATGTACATATTGTACAATGTTGAGTTAGTCATTTTAAGTTAAAAGAATAAGACACAACTCATTGGTCATACTAAGTTGACATGCAGTTTTCCAATTTCAGGGCCCCTGGTCATACCCCTCAACTACAGAGTTGAAGCCCTTTTTTAAAAAATTATGTGGCTTTGGCATAAATTTGCTTTCTTGTAAAGTAGGATAATGAAATTTGGTGTACACATTAGTGATTCTAAGTGGAAATGTGGTAAATTATTAGCTTTACGAACCTTTGTGACCCTTTGTGTGGAATATTCCTATCCTACACCCCAACACATAAAAGAGTCTTATAGAATTGACCTGTTAGGAGACGGAAGGTGTAGCACATGAAAATTTGTTCAGATTATCTTTTATGCATATGCATGAAGCTATATGTCAATCAACTTTATATTTGAAGTTGTATTTCTTTTCATTCAGAGCGGTAAAACAACTGTGTCTAATTTCCTGGCTGATGCCACAGATCAAGCCAGCGGAGAATACCACCCTACGCAAGGTTGTCGAATTGTAGAATTTGAATCTAACATAGGTGGACGTCAGAATGTAGAAGTGGAAATGTGGGATTGCAGTGGTGACAGGAGGTATTCTTTACATGAATCTTCTTATATGCTTTTGGAAACATGAAAAAAACAAAGGCTTTGTTCCATTGATCATAATTTGTGTGAATTTGTATCTTCTTTGTTTATTCATAAGCCATGAGGAAAGAAAGATGCTTCACAATTTAAAAACTTGAAATGCCATCTCATTCATATATTATAATGCAAAGATTTTAATGTAGACCTGGCCCTAGTTGTTCAAAGACTATTTAGAGATATGAGGCAGTGTAATAGCAAAATTTTGATTCACAAATAAAACAAAACTGGGCACATTATTTATCATTTCTCAACTTCAGAATTGTTGAGACAAGACAGATCGGTATATTCTGAGTGTTGATTTTGCCTTTAATGGTCTAATATTTCGGTGGTAGCAATTTTATTTCTTCATGAACCACTAGAAAATGCTAACTAATGTCTGAACAACCAGGACCTGGTAGCATGCTATATCTTGACGTCTATGTGGGCATTTTTTGCTTCAGATTTGAGGCCTGCTGGCCTGCTATAGCTAAGGATACAACTGGTGTAGTTTTTGTGTTCAATCCAGATATGCCCAACCATGACAAGGATATGGAGGGTTGGTAAGTGCAGAAAAGATTTTAAAACATAGCCACAGCAGATTGTCAGTTGTCAATTGCATGCAATGAAACATTGGTAATCTCAGTTAGGAACTTGTTCCTATGACATGAAGAAGTAAGACAGTGCTATCAAAAAAGATTTAGCATTGTCATACCAAAACCTTAATTTTCAATATCATGCATGGCACCATTAGTTATTTCTGTTAGAAAATTGTTCTCAGAATATGAAGAACCTTTTGCTAATTAAAACCTAATACCTAAACTTAGATGTATAAAAAATATAGCAATATCACATATATGTATCAAATTCATTTTGTACTGCTGTCTTTGGTAATTACAATATATTTATGTACGGTTACATGTATGCATATTTAGTTCAAATACATTTATCAAAAATAGAAAATATATATTGCATATTAAATTGAGTGTGAAATAATCGGACCAAGTATGTTTACACTTGTAATTCTGTTTGATTGTAAATTTTATGTTTTTTTTTTTAAAAAAAAACTTAAGGTATGACTTTTTTGTGGCTCAGCAAAGTTTAAAAGATAGTCAGTGTATAGTGTTTGCCCATCACAAGCCCGGAGCGAATGACAGGGAAAGATCTCAACTCAGTAAGTATATCATCGTTAGTTTCATGTGGCATTGTTTCAAGGAGTAATAGACTAATTCTTACATAAATCAGAAAGATACATTTATATTTATATCAGTTTGATTAAAGTACATAAGCATATATATCTTGCAGGTAGGACATAAGAATTGTTCTTACTGCCCTCATTGAATGACCATACCTCATTTTTAGCCCTTAGTCAAGTGTTGGGCTGTGTGTGGAAACCTCAGGTTCTGTCCCCTGGCTGAAACAACTACAGTCTTTAAATATGGACGTTACTTCGCCCTGTTCAGTACTCACCATTATGGTGTTGTTTGACTGATTTGCCCATTGTCAGAAAACGTGGCCAGATGGGTGTCCAGTTAGGGGCCTTTGGCGTATACATCAGTGTGGTATTGCTATAAAGTTGGTCTCAATTAAACATTATCACTATGGGACTTACATGAACACATCACAGCCTCCCAAAATCACAGGCACTCAACTTCTCACATATATTGCTGTTGATAGGATGTTGTATTTACAAAATTTTGAACTTATCATCTTGATTCTTAAGTCATTTTATGACTTGTGTCTAGTTAGCTCACCAGGCCTGATTTTTTTAAAAGAAATTACCTTGACTCATATTAAGGTCATGGGATCAAATGTGCTAAAATGTTCAAACAGCATCTTTTGATTAAGCAGAAAATCTAGGTCATGATATTTGACTGAAGGGTTGTAGGTAGAATTTCACTGATAATAAATGATGATGTATTTGTGAAAGCTTTGAATACCAGGTGAGCAGGTGGGTGATGCATGCCTGTCAGTCCTTACAATTGAGTAAATCTGAGCTAATTTTTCTGTTGTATTTTGTTTCAGGTGATACATTTGCAAATGTACAAGTGATACCAACAAACATTGAGGATGACAGTGATGATGTCAGGAATCGTTTCAACAATTATCTTTCTTGTATCATTTCTGCTCTGTCTGACAATCGTGAAAAGGAAGAACTCAGCATCATGAACAATTGATATTTAATATATAGTTTTATTGAATTAATTCATATCTTCATCATTTGTGGATATCATGAAAGAGACACTGTAGTATTTCTTGAACAAATTAGAAATGCAGGTTGCCAAGTAATATGTGCCCATTGCCTACACTAAGGAGGGCATATATTGTTTACATGTATAAATCCGTCCGATTATGATACAAATCCAAGGATATACTAAAATTAGCCTGCAAAAACAATTGACCTCTGACTCAAAGTTAAGGAATGGACATGTTATAGAACAGTAATTCCAGAGGTCAATGCATGACCTCTGACTCAAAGTTACGGGATAGACATATTATAGGACAGAAACTCCAGAGGTCAATGCATGACCTCTGACTCAAAGTTAAGGGATGGGTTTATTATAGGACAACAACTCAAGAGGTCAATGCATGACCTCTAACTCAAAGTTACAGGATAGACATATTATAGGACAGAAACTCCAGAGGTCAACACATGACCTCTGACTCAAAGTTACAGGATAGACATATTATAGGACAGCAACTCCATGTGTCAATACATGACCTCTGACTCAAAGCTAAGAGATGAGCTTATTATAGGTCAATAACATTTGTCTGGCATTGTTTATTTTTTGTATGACTGATCTGAAGTCCTTTTATATCAGAAAGATGATCTGAATGTAATCCAATGTTCAGATATTGTATTAAAATTATTATAATGAGGTATGGAATCTATAGTTGTAATTGTTTTACACCATGGTTCGCACAGATTTAGAATGAATATTTTTGAAAGTCCTTGAATTACTTATCAAATGTCTTATATTGTACACATGTAACACTTTTTCTTAAAAAATTAATAAAAGCAAACATATTCTTCGAGTGTTACATGTACATTTATCATGATATCATTTTTTTACAGTTGTTAAAAATATAGCCCAAACAAAAACCATAAAAGATTTGTGGGCAGAAATGTTAATGGAAAATTGTCAAACACTTAAGTGAATAAGAATACTTAAATTACTGTCCAGGAAAAGCATTGGAATTTGACATCTCAATGTCTGTACGAATCATGTTAACAAATTTTCGATAGTGACTGAATGAAATTTACAAATACAAATATAGTTTTGAGTTTGGAAGCTATAAAGGAGAGTGATAACACAGATAGCTCATTACCGGTACAAATCAGTGTTATTTGAACTTGAACACAGTATCACAATGCAGATTTACATTATGATAAAAATGATAGTCATTTTTGAACTTAACATTGGTGTAGTCTGATGTTTGGAGAAATTCTGTGTATGGTAGTGAACAGTGTAGGAGAGATAACAAATTACATGTATACATGTGATGTACATTGTACTAGTGTTGGGATCCCCACTCCGGGGATAGCAATGTTTGGCATCAAGAGATTAACACATTTATGACGTAGGAACTGGCCCGAGGGTCTTTCCCCACCGAAATGGGACATCGTTTTTGGATTTTATATATTTGAAACAGTTGAGAAGTGCTTGGCATTAATAGATAAATGCATTCATGGTGTAAGAATTGGCCATTGGGTGTTCCGGGGACTTAACGTCTGGATCATATTTAGAAGCTTTCCAGCACCTATAGGCATGACTCAGGCAAATTGAACCGACAACCAGGTCCCCCTCCCCCCAACAAAAAATATCCAACAACACGCATCCTCTTCCGCTTGTTTGATTGAGTGTGTTTTGTGCCGTCATATTTTTAGTAACATTATAACGAGATAAATTAGTCAGAAAGAAAAGCGTAAAATCAGCCATAACGATATGTTTTATCAACGAGTATTTCAGACAGTTTCCTGTACATATTTTAAGGGAGAACCGCGAGTACTCGCTTAATGATGGACAAGGGGAGACTACTCGAACGTTTACCTGCTTTTTCGCGATTTCATACTAGAATGTTTTCATACTGAAGTACTAAATGCTCCCATTCGTGGATAGAACACTTTACATTCTGCCTTTAATGAAACCCGATAAGTTTTCACTGGACCTCTCCGTTTTCAAGGGCGTAGCTAGCCCAGCAGAAGTGTGTAAGCCCAGGCGAGGGGTCTGGGGCCGCCTAGGTGGGGGATCAGGGGGACGGAAAATGAATTTCATGATTACAAAGATGTTTTGAATCGTTTTCTGAGACAGTTTTTTTTATTCATTTAACAACAAACTTCAACCCCTGACTAAATAAAAGACCTTGTTTTGTTTGAAAAAACTTGTCGATCAACGTCTATGATCGAGAAGCCTTCTTCCCTTTGAAAATTTGCACTTTAACAACATTATAATCGGAAACGTTGAAATGATAGTAAGAAGTAGAATAGTATGATGTGTATAAAGTTCTGGAAAGCAATGCACTAGGCCTAGCTATTCAACAATTTTCTATTTTTTTTTTACATTTTTTTATTTATCAAAAATATTAGATATTTATTTTCAACCTTAGTTTTGTAATTTTGTCCAACATACTCTATGCACGGATTTTATATGTGTAAGCCCGGGCTTTTTCTTTATATGGAAGCTACGCCCCTGTTTTTTTTTCTTCTTCTCTGTTTTCTTTATGATGGTCACAAATTGACCTGTGGTATTGAAGACTTCAGTGAAGTAGACTAACACGACCAGTGTTCGAATACTGTTTTAATTTCGGTTCTTATTCTACAAAACGACCGATTTGTCCACTCATGATGTAAGATAACTATGGGATGTGATCACTTCTTCTCATAATTAGAAAAACTCTCGAACAAAGAGGTTTTCATCTCAATTCAAGTAGACAACTGCGCAACCGACCCTGCTGTTCGCGACAACTGTCAACATACTCGACGGTACGGAGTTGCCTACGCATATACAATATGACCGTGTAGTCATCGAAACGTTTCACTCCTACTGGTTATGTCAATAGAACATTTATTCTGTAAGTGTGGACTTTTTCATACGCAAATTATCTTCATGAGCCAAATGCGTCGCCAAGTTTGCAGATGACGCGAGATGAAGAGAGTCTGCGTCTGAGTTTGTTCACTTTTGTCGAGATTTCAAGCAATTGCATTTATCTGCTTTTCTGTGACCAGGATGTTATACAGGGTGTTCATGAGATTGCCATTCCCCTTGAAGATCCATTCACCGAGGACAGTTCCACTCGAAAGACTGTATTTGCAGACGCCAGGTTACCTACTGTCAGTTCTTTCCCACAATATTTCAGATTCGGTTCATTTGTTTATCGATTTGTTCAATGTTACAGTTGGAGAGAGTTAATATAACTTGTGTTCTATTCTTTTGTTTAAATCTATGACGTAAATGTTTAAACTAAAGCTTTGAATCTTTCATCGAGAGAAAATCTACTCATTAGAGATATATCAGATGAGCATGCCTCTTGCACATCTTTCTTATCCTAATTACGCAAATCAAATATTGAAGTTATAATGTACAGTTTGAATCAAGCTTAACATTCCGACAATAATCATTTTTAGGATTTTTTGTATAGCATTAACAAAGGCTTCCTCTAAAGGCCACACTTGTATATATGAACAGGTTACGGATGAGCATTAGAGAAATCAAGACATTGATACCTCCTGAGGTAGACTCGGTATGAAATATGAGGAATTTACAGGTCCCGACCACAAAACGGTGATGTAAACGATACCACTAATTACAGGGAATAGTGTGGTAAGTCACATTCAACAACCGATAACAGTGTTGATATAATGGGTTTAGAAAGTCGATGAGTAATACTACCGTTACTAAACAACGATAAACAATAAATAAAACATGTAGGGACAGCAAAAACGCTTTTGGTCTTGAAAATGATACTCAAATAACGAGAAGATGTGTTATGAGATGAAAAAGTATAGATCGATTGAAACGCATCCATTATTTAAAAAATCGGTTGAAGAACAAAGGCTTCATATTACAGTTAACTGAGCAGTTTGAGTGCAGGCGGGAATGAAATGTTTTCATAATAAAACACCACAGCCGGTTTACTTTGCGTTCACAAAATAAATGACAGGTTTGAATGCAAGCAGGGATGAATTGTTTTCAAGATGAAATACTATTGCAGATTTTCTTTCAGTTCACATATTCATGAATTGCTGTGTAGTTTAGTATTGAATAAAGAGCCAACCATTTGTTGATAATAATGGCATAATCTTGCAGAAATTTGAACCCAGCAATAACTAGCCTGTCCGGAACATACCCCAGATCTCGGATATTATTGTAATCCATCTGCTTATCCGTTCACTTCACTTTTGTTATGTTGCGGTGGTGCATAATTTAGGATATACCCAGGTATACTTGTATAACCACTGAGAGGCCCGAGGCGGGAGTGATAAATATACAATTGAAATGTTTCCATATTTTATGCAAACGGTATTGATATTTTTTCGTTGCAAAGGAGATGAGAATATGAAGTAAAATGGAATGGTGTTAGATGAAAAAATTGATAAAAAAAAAAAAAAAAATCCACGTGAATTCGTTTCTATTTCAAATAAGGTCTTTGGAATTCCACACAAATTTAGCACCTATTTAAAATGAAAACTCCCTCTTCCGTTTAAAGAGCAGCCAAAAGTCCGTGCGTTTACAGGCAGTACTTCTTCAAAGCTCTAAATCAGAAACGCGTTGTTTTTACTGAGAGAATTTTGTCAGGACCATACCGTATGTTAGCGATAATGAATGTTTGCATGTTCTTGGCATACTTAAGGCTGAAATATCTCAGATTTATGTGGCAAGATAGTTTGGGATGCACGTAAAATGATAAATCCTTTGAGGAGGCGGACGAACATGGCATGAGACCGTCCACGAACAGAACGTCCGCGCGTGACGTCACGTCGGCAAAATACGTATATAAGGGATGTCTTCATTGACCCCGAAGCACTCAATGACTTAGAAAAATCGGTTCGAGCAGATTTCTAGAGGTCAAAATTTCGCCCCCGACGTCCTGCTCTTCGTTCAGTTTCGCTTCAAAGCCAGGCAGTTGCGCGCTTAATGTGACATATGCAATTAAAAAAAAAAAAAAAAACAGGCTATGGTCGACTGGTCTGAAATTCTGATTACAGAAGATTCCAGATTTCACCTTGATAGTCTTGGCCGAGAGAACGTTACAGTGACGTCAGTACACTGAGTGGAGGGTTCATGGTGGTCTGGGATGGTATTACAATGCATAGGACGACCCCCCTTAGTTAAAATGTAAGTCAAATCCACCGGTGTGCGCTACCGCAACGAAATTATACGTCATCACGTTTTTCTAATTATTCACCACCAAAGTCACTGACTGGGAGCAAAGGACGATATTGCGAGCGAACGCGGTAACGTAGAACCGAAAGAAAGACGAATTCATACGCGTGGAACATAACACAGAAACACGTGTGATAAATTACAACATAACAAACTAACTAGAACAGGGATATTTGGAGATGTCGTCCCAATAAACAACGTAAAATTGAAAATTCATAATGGTTATGCAACAAGACTATAATAATTCATGATTTGATTTTATATCCAGACTGAAGCGCGCTCATACGGGGGTGAAAACTAGATACACGTGTTCTAGCGGACCTGGGAATTGAACACCAGTCGCTTTGGTAGAATGCAAGTGCGATATCCGCTCTGTCACTTAACGATTCACTACAATAGCTGATATTGGTAATATTTCATTATTTTGTCCCGATTAACATCGTCTTTTTGTAGCGTCTGATCGAAATAACTAAACTGATAAAAACGCAAAATACCCCCCCCCCCCTTCTCCACACACACAAATCAGGACCTACGTAGTGACCGAGATATTTCGCTTGCAGTTTTGTAGATATTTCACCTCTCTAAGTATCGTTCTGTCGTCACACTACCAAGAATAACGACAATCTTCGTCCTGACGTGTCGCGAGGTGAACTATTCCTTGTAACAACACGCAACACGAACCAGCCATACTAAGGGCCAGTATGGCCCTTAGTGGCCCTTAGTATGGTTTTTGCTTATGAACTCAAAGTAATTGTGAAATGAATAACAAAAACATATCTTTTACTGTCTTAAAGAATGCAAACGGGCACAAATTCGAAAAAAATCTCTTTTAACAAAACAAATGAAAATGCATTCCATAAAAATATTTTAAGAGACATAATTATTAAAAGGACACACAAGTGAATTGTTGAGAAGAGTCCCTTTTCTATACACTTATAACTAGACACCGAAGGGTCAATTAACACTGTGCCAGCATATTCAAGGCACGAAGTGTTAAAACCTACATGTAGGAGGCGACTGAGGGTTTGATCCATAGAAATGTCAAAGGTTAGATAGGGAGGTGTTCTAGACCCATATTCCATTGATTCACAAAATAGTACTGCTATTCGACTGACGGTTTTGGCATTTTTGAAATCACACAGATTTTATCGTAAATATGTGTAGATTCTGTAAACATGAAATCTGCATGTGTGTATGAAATTCTTTTTTTTTCCAGAAAGAGAGTCTAAATAGTTTCTTGGTTGTGGTCATCGTACCGTGAACACCGAGAGGTCACCTTGGAGTAGCTTATACATACCTCACTGAATACCATACGAGAGACCCGTCGCATGTCATCTAGAGTAATTATGGTTAAGTGTTTACCCTAAGGATAAGGACATGCCAATCTGTTTCACATACTTAACCTGAAAGGCTCTGGGTGACATGCGATGTCCTCCCGTATGTTGTTCAGTTAAGTATCAATAACTTATTACAAGGGGACGTCGCCATAACATGGCACCGCCTGATCATGTGGCGAGAAACCCCGCAAAGAAATTAGGAGTCTTAATAATGGGTTTTGTGTGCATGGGCGTGAATGTAAGTCCTAAAAATGTGTTTTGTGTGCATGGGCGTGAATGCATATTTACTCGGATTTGCGATAGAATCTGTGTTTTTGATTGTCATAAACCTGCATAATTACCGAAATAGTGGACAAATCAATCTGGTAAAATTCACTATCATCCTCGTAGTTATGATATGAAGGCTAACGACTGATCTACCAAACTGACATCCATCTATCAATGTACGTGTAGTTATTTTATCATCTGTACACATCATAGAATGTCTATTCCTTAATATTTTAATATTAAGAATCAGGTGACATAATTCCCTATTTCTATTATAATTGTTTGAAATATAGAAACAGGAATACATTATGACACGTAATTTTCCAGCGACCTATATTTTCTTATTTAGGAATTCATAATGTATCGAGTTTAGCTGTACAAGACAGCATTCAATGGCTTGCCGAAACATTTCCCGAAAAATATCTGTAATTTGTATTTCATAAATTGTTAATGTTAGATGTATCTATTCTTTTCATACAGTATTATCATACATCCTAATGGCTCTAACTATGATTCGTTGTGGTTTATCTCTGGTCCGCCAAATACTCCGGGCGCCTTATAAAGGAAATCGTGACACATCGCCCCCATCTTGCACCCCGATGATGCCGCATGCCCTGCGCATGTGTGTTTGTCTTGCCTAGCGCAGTTTCGTTTTGTAACCGGCTCACATGTACGTGATGACACTTAGACGAACGGAGACGATAGAAAGCGAGTATTTTCTGTAAGTATACAGATAGATGGATGGATATGCTTGATTTCATGTGTGTTGTTTCAGAATATTATTAAACTAGGGACATACAGTCGGCTTAGCAGGCAGAACGTCATGCATCAGATCCATAGCCTGTGCCCAGTTTCTATTCAATTCGTGAAGTACATGTTTAAAACTACACCATCAGCCACACGTATTGTATGTGTGCTTTAAGCACACATGTATTCACGACGTGTGGTTTAAAAATTATGTGTTTCCTCGAAATATGAATAAAACTATCACCTGTCTATAGAGCACATACCGGTATATAATTATAGCCTACCACTTGTTTTAAATAGGTGACCAGTATTTACAACCATACCTGTATATAATGACCTGTTTAGAATCAATACCTGTATAAAATGACCTGTTTAAAATCAATACCTGTATATTACAACCAGTCTGAAGTCAATATCTTTATTTCTGCCTGTTAATACAGGTTTTATTTTTCATCACTTTTGGAATGGGGCTCATTGCTTTGAATTAAGGATGATAAAAGTGACAAAATGCCAAATCACAAAACAAGAGGATCAAATCAAATCATAATTCATTTTTTTTTTAATTGTATCTTGTAGCTCTTAAATTCATTAAGCGAATGTGCAACATCTTAACTCAGGGCTAAATTTCTGTCGAAAAAAAATTTACATGGGAAAGAACCATTCAGAGTTTTTGATAATTTGTTAAATTACAATTATTTTAGAAATTTTAATGCTCAGATTTGGAAAAATATACAAAAAAAAATTTGCCATTCGGAAGGCAGCCCATTTTTGGCCCTAGCCTGTGGGAGCAAGTGAGCTTATGGTATACTGCAGCGTTTGTTGTTTGTCTGTCAACTTTTCCTATGAATGAATATTAGTCATGAATGACTGAGCAGATTAAGACCAAATTTTGTTTGAAGCATTCTTGTATGCAGGGAAATAGTTGTGTACATCCTGGTTCCCTAGATATTTGTGAATGATTGTACAATTCCACACTTAACCTGTGTCTATCATCGCCACCTGTCAATAAGAACCACCTCTTGATAAGAAACGCCTGTTTATAAATAAATCCATAGTAATTATCGGTCTGTCATGACTGCCTGTTTGTCACAGCCACCTGTCTATAATAACCACCTGCAGATAAGAACTGTTCTCTTACCCTTGACAGGTAAATCCACATTTTTCGCGGCATGAGATGTCTTTTTTCACCTTCGGGTTGAGACATGTTACACATGCTCTTTGCACTTTCTGAAAACGATATAAGTGACGGGAGACATAACCTGGATGTAGAATTACTACACATACAATAGCTTCTCTGCTACTGAAATTTTATGTTTTTCTCAAAACTGAATATCCTGAGTTATCAAGATTGAAACTCAAATTAATCCTCAACTATCATTGAAAATGTATATATCAAGAATATAATTTAATTTGGTGTTTTATTGGCATGTGCACTAAGAATAATATGCAATAGATGAAGTGTCTGAGGTGTGGGCCTCATCACTATTCGTTTGCCATCCATATATATTTTCTTTACACACAATGCACTTTGTCTTGCACTCGGACAAGAACAAAAACCGGACAAGAGAAAAATAATCATTCATTGCCTATAAGGTGAGATAGGTAGGGGGATCTCAACCCATGGGGTAAGATTATTAAGCTGTCAAACACAAGACAATCTTCCCCCTCGAGATCAGATCTCCCCATCTCGCCCTAAAGGGGATGAAAGATTTTATTAATTATTGGAACAAACTGTCTAAAAGAACCTTCTGTCTATAAAAATAGAGTACGGTCAACAATCATGAAAGACTGTAAAATTTGCCTTTTGAAGTAAACAACAAATGATCATGAATACTGCTATATCATTCTAGCAACTCACAATGAATATATAGATATACAATAGTATTGATTCTAACATAGGGTCAGTCAGTAGAGCCCCACACTATTATAAACGTAACCTCTAGTAAAGAACAGAGTTATGTGTTCAGCAAGATTGTGTTTTTCAGGTAAATGGGGACCATTTTGTAATGTCCTGGATGTGTTAAATCACCTCTGCTGTCCTGGATGTGTTTAATCACCTCTGCTGTTTCCGGAGGAAGTCACCACTTTACACAATAAAACAATACTTCAGATACAGCTGTTCAGTTAATAAAACAACACAGTTTACAGCATAGATATGTTTCCATAGTGAATTAGTCAACATTATTTATTACATTAATTTACAGTCCTTGTACTGTCCTAATTTACAATCCTTGTACTGTCCTAATTTACATCCTTTATATCCTAATGTTGTACAGTGATGTGTACTGTCATCTTTATATCCTTACTAATGTCTGTAAGTGATGTCAGTGATGTCGTCTTTATATCCTGACTAATGTCTGAAAGTGATGTCAGTGCTGTCTTTATATCCTGACTAACTAATGTCTGTAAGTGATGTCAATGATGTCTTCTTTATATCCTGACTGATGTCTGTAAGTGATGTCAATGATGTCGTCTTTATATCCTGACTAATGTCTGTAAGTGATGTCAATGATGTCGTCTTTATATCCTGACTTGTCTGTAAGTGATGTCAATGATGTCGTCTTTATATCCTGACTAATGTCTGTAAGTGATGTCAGTGATGTCTTTATATCCTGACTAATGTCTGTAAGTGATGTCAATGATGTCATCTTTATATCCTGACTAATGTCTGTAAGTGATGTCAATGATGTCGTCTTTATATCCTGACTAATGTCTGTAAGTGATGTCAATGATGTCATCTTTATATCCTGACTAATGTCTGTAAGTGATGTCAATGATGTCGTCTTTATATCCTGACTTGTCTGTAAGTGATGTCAATGATGTCGTCTTTATATCCTGACTAATGTATGTAAGTGATGTCAATGATGTCGTCTTTATATACTGACTAATGTCTGTAAGTGATGTCAATGATGTCGTCTTTATATCCTGACTAATGTCTGTAAGTGATGTCAATGATGTCATCTTTATATCCTGACTAATGTCTGTAAGTGATGTCAATGATGTCGTCTTTATATCCTGACTAATGTCTGTAAGTGATGTCAATGATGTGATGTCTTTATATCCTGACTAATGTCTGTAAGTGATGTCAATGATGTCGTCTTTATATCCTGACTAATGTCTGTAAGTGATGTCAATGATGTCATCTTTATATCCTGACTGATGTCTGTAAGTGATGTCAATGATGTCATCTTTATATCCTGACTAATGTCTGTAAGTGATGTCAATGATGATGTCTGTAAGTGATGTCAATAATGTCATCTTTATATCCTGACTAATGTCTGTAAGTGATGTCAATGATGTCGTCTTTATATCCTGACTAATGTCTGTAAGTGATGTCAATGATGTCGTCTTTATATCCTGACTAATGTCTGTAAGTGATGTCAATGATGTCGTCTTTATATCCTGACTGATGTCTGTAAGTGATGTTAATGATGTCGTCTTTATGTCCTGACTAATGTCTGTAAGTGATGTCAATGATGTCGTCTTTATATCCTGACTAATGTCTGTAAGTGATGTCAATGATGTCGTCTTTATATCCTGACTAATGTCTGTAAGTGATGTCAATGATGTCGTCTTTATATCCTGACTTGTCTGTAAGTGATGTCAATGATGTCATCTTTATATCCTGACTAATGTCTGTAAGTGATGTCAATGATGTCATCTTTATATCCTGACTAATGTCTGTAAGTGATGTCAATGATGTCGTCTTTATATCCTGACCAATGTCTGTAAGTGATGTCAGTGATGTCATCTTTATATCCTGACTTGTCTGTAAGTGATGTCAATGATGTCATCTTTATATCCTGACTAATGTCTGTAAGTGATGTCAATGATGTCGTCTTTATATCCTGACTAATGTCTGTAAGTGATGTCAATGATGTCGTCTTTATATCCTGACTAATGTCTGTAAGTGATGTCAATGATGTCGTCTTTATATCCTGACTAATGTCTGTAAGTGATGTCAATGATGTCGTCTTTATATCCTGACCAATGTCTGTAAGTGATGTCAATGATGTCATCTTTATATCCTTACTTGTCTGTAAGTGATGTCAATGATGTCGTCTTTATATCCTGACCAATGTCTGTAAGTGATGTCAATGATGTCATCTTTATATCCTGACTAATGTCTGTAAGTGATGTCAATGATGTCATCTTTATATCCTGACTTGTCTGTAAGTGATGTCAATGATGTCGTCTTTATATCCTGACCAATGTCTGTAAGTGATGTCAGTGATGTCTTTATATCCTGACCAATGTCTGTAAGTGATGTCAATGATGTCGTCTTTATATCCTGACCAATGTCTGTAAGTGATGTCAATGATGTCATCTTTATATCCTGACTAATGTCTGTAAGTGATGTCAATGATGTCATCTTTATATCCTGACTAATGTCTGTAAGTGATGTCAATGATGTTGTCTTTATATCCTGACTTGTCTGTAAGGGATGTCAATGAGGCCATGTTTATATCCTGTCTAATGTCTGTAAGTGATGTCAATAATGTCATCTTTATATCCTGACTAATGTCTGTAAGTGATGTCAATGATGTCCTCTTTATATCCTGACTTGTCTGTAAGTGATGTCAATGATGTCATCTTTATATCCTGACTGATGTCTGTAAGTGATGTCAATGATGTCATCTTTATATCCTTACTTGTCTGTAAGTGATGTCAATGATGTCGTCTTTATATCCTGACCAATGTCTGTAAGTGATGTCAATGATGTCATCTTTATATCCTGACCAATGTCTGTAAGTGATGTCAATGATGTCGTCTTTATATCCTGACCAATGTCTGTAAGTGATGTCTTTATATCCTGACCAATGTCTGTAAGTGATGTCAATGATGTCATCTTTATATCCTGACCAATGTCTGTAAGTGATGTCAATGATGTCATCTTTATATCCTGACCAATGTCTGTAAGTGATGTCAATGATGTCATCTTTATATCCTGACCAATGTCTGTAAGTGATGTCA